CCTTTTTAAAGGCTGCATTGCAATTTATTGTATGGATGAATTGAAAATGTATTATTTAACGATTCCCAAAGGTGGACGATTTGATACATTTTAAACAATACCGCAATGAATATTCTTGAACATGCTTTACATTTCACATATGTAACTTTATCTGTTAAAAAAATTTATTGATGTGTAATTACTGGATGGAAGAGTACATGAGCACTTGTAATTTGGATAAATATTGTCAAAGCGGCTTCCACAGATGTTACACTAATTTATGCTCCCTGCAGTAATGCATGAGATGACCTGTTTCCTTAAACGCATGCCAACATAGCATATTATCCAATATTCTGATCTTTACCAAGCTGATAAGGAAAATGATGTCTCTTTGTGGTCTTGTATTTCATTCTGAGTGAGGTTGACTGTGTTTTCCTGTGTTTAAGAGCATTTTTATTTCTTTTACTGTGGAAAGAATTTCTTGTTTTCTTTGCCCATTTTTCTCTTGGTTTGTTGCCCTCCTGCTTATTCATTTGCTTCATGTATCTGGGTAATTAGTTTGCGGTCTATAATATATGTAACAAATATTTTTGTCCAGTTTTGGGATTTTATTTGACACTATGGAGATTTTTGTTTTGCTATGCAGAACTTTAAAAATTTCTGTGTAGTTAAATTTAACCGGATTCAACAATCATTTTATTTACGCCTTCACGGTTTGTCGTGCTTAAAATTAATTTCTGTTTTAATGCATGTTGCAGACTGTTGAGAAAAAGCACTAGACTGGGAATCAGATCCAAATTCATAGCCAGCAACCCCTTCCATCTTTTCACCTTAGCTTCGCCTTCTGTGAAATGAGAGGGTTGGATTTCATTTAATCATTCACCAGCACTGGGCTGGGTGCTGGGAACACAAAGATGAATGGTGTGGTCTTTGTCCTCATGGGGCAACGAGAAGAGAGACACATCACCCAAGAGTGAAATGCAGTGTACTGGGGGCTAGGAAGGAAGACCCCATGTGTATTGAGGGGACATCTAATATAGCCTCAGGAAGGGGGAGGAAGAGGATACGGGTGTAGGAGGTGAAATGAGGGATTGCAGGGGAGATGAGGCCAGGGTGAGTCTTGGTGAAAAGGTGTTATTCTGGCAAAATAACTGGTGGGTGGGGTGGATGGCAGAGGGGTGAGCATTCAAGATAGGGGAGGGAGGACCTGTGACAGCATGAGACACTAGGAGGACTGTGTCGGGGCATGTTGGGGAGTAGGGAATAAGAAATAAACATTATCTCTATAGTTGAAAAGTCCCATGGACCTCTCCTAAATCACATCTCTCTGCCTTCCCTAAATGTTGGCAAGAAGGTGCTGCTGGTGGGCATGTCTAATGGCACAGTTGCATCTTAAATGTTCTCATCACAAAGAAGAAATGATAATTATGTGATGTGATGGAAGTGTTAGCTAAAGCTAAGGTGGAAATCATATTGCAATATATAAATGTCTCGAATCAACACAATGCACACCTTAAACATACACAATTTTATATGTCAGTGATGTCTCCATAATAAATGGCACAGTTTCTTCAGAGAACACTTTAGCAACATTTAGTGAAGTTGCGGGTATACATCCCCATATCATCCAATAATTCTACCCCCAGCTGGTAGAATTACCTACACAGATAAGCATGAGGAGATGTGTATCAGATAGTCCATAGCAGTAGTGTTAGTAATGGTGATGGAAACCGCATTTTCCATCAACAGCAAAGTGAATCAATCCATTATGGCTTGTTTATACCATAGAGTACTGGCATGGAAACATAAGACCCAGAGCCACATGCTCATGGAAATACAAGACCCAGAGTTAACAAAGATAAATTTCAAAAATACAGTGTTGAGTGTGGGGGAAAAGTGCCAGAAGAATACAGGTAGCATGTAACACTTACATAAAGTTCAGAGACAGACACAGCGGTTCCACATTCTGTTAAAAGAACATACTCATCTCGTAAACATACAAAGACATGTATAAGACCGATAAACACCACAGCCCCTGAGTGTCTGCCTGTTCCTCATATTAATCTTTAAAAGATTAATATATTTAACTCAGTATTCCCTCCAAATTATTTCAGTGTATAATCTGTGTAAACATTATTAATAAAATATATTACATTCCTTTTTTCAAACTAAGTCTTCAAAATCCACTTTGTATTTTACACTTACGGCACATCTCATTTGGGACAATCCATATTTTCAAGTGTTCAATAGCCACACTTGGCTAATGGCTATTATACTGGACAGCGCCAGGTTAACACTGCTCAGGTAGAAGTCATATCAGGTGGCCTCTGAGATTTCTTTCTGAACTTGAAAGTCTAAGATGATGACGATGATGATGATGATGATGATGGTGCTATTACACTTACGGCACATCTCATTTGGGACAATCCATATTTTCAAGTGTTCAATAGCCACACTTGGCTAATGGCTATTATACTGGACAGCGCCAGGTTAACACTGCTCAGGTAGAAGTCATATCAGGTGGCCTCTGAGATTTCTTTCTGAACTTGAAAGTCTAAGATGATGATGATGATGATGGTGATGATGATGGTGATGGTGCTGTTAATAATACCCACCAATTTATTGAGCATTTGCCATGTGCCAGCACCTCATATTATCACATTTAACCCATTTAATTACTCTTTGAAAAAAATTATGGTAAAATACAAATACATGAAATTTATCATTTTAACCATTTGATGTGTCACGTATTATTATTTATGCATTTTTGCATGTCCTAAATATTTCATAATAATTTGTGACTTGTGCACACACACACAGGCTAGCTGCTGACTTTGGGCATCCTTCTCTGTGGGTGCTCTGGGGTGGGGCACAGGAGTCAGGGCGTCTCTCTCGCATCCTCCAGGGATGTTTGAATTCTTGGACTGACCAGAGTTTCGACTGTATCCTCTTGCTGGTGAAGGGACATCAGCACAGCAGGCAAACCAGATCAAGCTCCACCCTTGGGAGAGAGCTCCCATCTCATGAGACCGAGGCAGTGAACCCACCTGAGGTGGCTCAAAAACATCCTGCCACTTACTATCTATGTAACCACAGGCTAGTCACTCTATCTTCCTAAGCCTTAGTTCTTCATCTGTAAAATGAGGTAACAGCAGAAATTCCCGCATGAAAAACCTGGTCATTATTACTCCTTGTGGGGAGTTCAGGGGCACAGAGATGAGGTGTCTAGGATCTCATCTTGGTCTCCACTTCCACATCAGCACAATGTGGGCAATAACCCCGCCTATCAACCTCTCGGGCTCGTTGAGTAGATGTAATAAAAAGAAAGAGCAGTGAACATTAACTGCATTACCACCATAATTACTGGGGTTACATGGCTGGTCTCATTTAATCCTTCTCACGGAGTCCATACCATAGAGGCAGACACAGCCTTGGAGTGATAGAATGACTCGCCCAATGTCACATAGCTGGTCAGTTATCCAGTTAAAGGGGACGAGTTATTAAACTGGAAAGCAGGCTGATTCTTCAGGTGAGGGCTTTACTTGTGGTGCCCTCAGGTAGTTCGAGTCTTCTCTGGGTACCAACCCACCAAGTCCTCCGAGGACACTCTTGTTCTCAGGGTCCTCTGGTCTTCAGCTGTAGTCCAGGTAGTCACCATATGAGTCTGCTTTGCCCCGGGTCTCTGAGGGAGGACTTTGCTCAGTTCTGACCCTCATTCACTACAGGCTGAATCCTCAGGTTCAGGCTTCACTTTCAAGGCCAAAGGGCCCTGCATATCATGGTCTTGCCTTCCAGGGTCTTGTCCACTTCCCCCTGGGACCTGCCTTCCTATCACTGCTGGTACCTTGGGCATCACCTTGGGAGTGGCTGCAAGTCAGGCCACAGCCTTCTCCCAGGGGACAATGGTTGAATGGACCAGTGCTTCCTTTCCAGGCCACCATAATGGAGCCCCATCATTTCTCTCCCCAGGGGGTGGTGGTTAAGAGCTCCTAGGGTCAAATGCCCTGGCTTAGAACCCTGAATGGAACTTACCTTGGGCAAATTTCTTATCTTCTCTAAGCTTTCTCCAAAGTAAAGTGGGGATAATAGTATTGAACCTCATAGAGTTATAAGGATGGAATGACGAATGTGAAGAGTTCAGAGCAGAGCCTGGCAGGGTGAGAGCTCAAGGACTGTCAATGATGATGATGACATTTACGAAAAATTTTAATCGTCCCTAGGTCTGGGAACACTTCATTTTGTCCCCGCTTTTTTCCTCGCCCCCTGAGGCACTTAAACAGCAGACCTCATTCAAAATAAACCAAAACAAACCTACCCTGTTTTACAGAAAGAAATGAGGAAAAAATCATGTTGGTGCAGAACATTATGTATTCTAGGAATATTCTAGGAAATATTGTTAAATATTTTTTAAACTGCAGGTCATGACCCATTAATGGGTAATGAAATCAGTTTTGTAGGTCGTTTCCGGCATGTTTTTAATAAAATACAAGAGAAAAAGAATGATTAAATAGAAAGGAAACTATTAGAGAGCCTGGTGAGTATTAAAAGTAAATAATGTCTTATTTCAATGTTGCAGATATGTATTTAGCTAAATATGCATATTGGTTTGCTTGTAAATGCATTTCTTAATGCAAGTTGGTGTCAAAAAAATTTGAAATACAATAATTAAGAGAATACAGTGGGACTAAGATGTACAAACTGACAGTTACAGAATTAGTCACAAGGACGTAAAGTACAGCATAGGGAATATAGTCAGTAATCTAGTAACTATGTACAGTGTCAGATGGTTACCAGACTTATCATGGTGATCACTTCGTGAGGTATGTTAAAGTCTAGTCACTATGTGTACACCTGAAAGCAATAAAATATAGTATGTCAACTATAATTGAAAAATAAATTTTTTAAAAAGGGGGGAGAAACGTACAATGAGGTCCTGAGGGCTCTCATTTCATTTGTGACTTTTCTTCCTCAAAGCATAGTAGAACATATGTGTGAAGCATGGCCTCTCTGTTTCCCTGCAGATTCGGCTTCCCAGGGCCATCTGGATCTCACGGAGCTCGTCGGTGTCCCGCTGCCCTCATCCGTGTCCTTCGTCACAGGCTATGGTGGCTTCCCTGCCTACAGCTTTGGGCCTGGTGCCAACGTGGGCCGCCCGGCCAGGACCCTCATCCCACCCACCTTCTTCCGTGACTTTGCCATCAGTGTCACGGCAAAGCCCAGCAGCACCCGAGGAGGTGTGCTCTTTGCCATCACGGACGCCTTACAGAAGATCATCTACCTGGGCCTGCGGCTCTCGGGCGTGGAGGACGGCCACCAGCGGGTCATCCTCTACTACACGGAGCCCGGCTCCCGAGTGTCCCATGAAGCTGCTGCCTTCTCAGTGCCTGTGATGACCCACAGGTGGAACCGCTTTGCTGTGACCGTCCAGGATGAGGAAGTGACCCTCATCATGGACTGCGAGGAGCATGGCCACATCCCCTTCCAGCGGTCCTCTCAAGCCTTGGCTTTCGAGCCCAGTGCGGGAATCTTCGTGGGCAATGCCGGAGCCACCGGGCTGGAGAGATTCACTGTGAGTCCAAGTCCTGCAGATCAGGGAGGCCGCCGGACACAGACTCGCCACACAGCAAACACCAGCAACTGTTCCGTTATTATTTCACCCTTATGTCCTCAAAGAGGCATGCATGTATGGCGGGAAGAACGCTAGGCCCGGAACCCAAAACCTAGATTCCAGTCTCGAGTTTTCAATGCAGCCTGATGGTTTTAAATAGTACCTGGGTTCTCTGATTCTTTCTGTGTTTTCTTATTTGTAAGTCAGGAGAAGAAAACTCACTGCCATGGGGTTGTAGAGCCAAGCGAGATAGCCTGTGTGAAAGCACTTAGTACATTTTAAGGCATCATATGAACAGTAAGGTTTGTTGTACCTTTCGATGATTTTATCTTTGGATATGCACGTGAGTAGTATCTGCACAGGTGGAATAAGCTAGAATGCCTGAGTGAGTCTCTCTTTCTCCTTTTGGACAATGTGCTCTGAAAAAATATCAAAAAAACTAACTTTACTGTCAAAATGGGCTTTTATGAATACGCCAGTCTAAAGAAAAGCCCTAAGTTATTGTAGTTTTTCATTTAGTTAGCACATGCACTTAACTTTATGCTTATCGATACACGACAGTACTGAGGGGCGGAGTTTGGGTTTGTGCGTGGTACAGCGGAAGGCTGAGGGTTATAAGAAGTTAAACTCCAATTAACGATCGTTAAACACTCGCTCTGGGGGCATCGTGGAGAATGAGCTGTCAGGAATGGGGAGAGGAGGTGAGCGTGGAGGCAGGGAGGCTGGCGGCTCTTCTGGGGACGAGGCCTTCCAGCTGAGAAGCTTCCAGCTGCCGAGGAAGGACACTTTCTGGGAAAGGGGAAACATGCATTTTAGGGTCTGCCCCTGACAAGCTGGGGACCTAGGGACCAGGGAGGAACCTGCTGTGTAAGTCTGTGCTTTGAACACAATACTCTTGGAGGGCCTCTCTAGCTACTGGGACTCAAATTACAATGGCTCAAGCAGAGTGCCCCCCTAAATGAGAGGGGACCAAGAGGTGGCTTGGTTTACTTGGCAGGGCCAACAGGCAGCACATTCTCACACTGGTCCTTTCATTGGTTCTTCTAATTACAAAAACAGTCATGTTTTCACTGGTGGCCGAGCTATAGATGTGCAAGCAGTGGCTTCTGACCCCTCTGCTTTTTCCCAGGGCTCCATACAGCAGCTCACCATCCACCCTGATCCCAGGACTCCTGAGGAGCTATGTGAAGCCGAAGAGTCCTCGGTGAGTCCCCCATCCCCCCCGACTGCCTGACTGCCCCTGAAGCGGGCCCTGCAGCCCGGGCAGCCAGTCGGCCAGAGAAAGGCTGGGTGCCCAGGCAATTCTTCATCCCCAACGTCATGGAGTCTCTAAAATCTCTCATCTTGGCAAGTGCTCCCTCAAGTTCTATTTTGGGCTTTTGGGCTTTATTTTATTATGTTTAAGAACTTCAGTCATCTCTTTGGTGTGAGGAGGGCGGGGGGTTGTGTTTCTTGTAAGGTGTTAGGTTCTTCCTCAGCTGTGGCCATCAGTGGCCTGGTTTCCAGACTTCCTGTCAAGAAACAGTATCAGGATTCTAAAATCGAAGCTAAAACTCTTAAGACATCCTGGGTGTAAATTCCTATAAAAACGAATCTAAATTTAACTTTTATGCTTGGCAAATGAATCAGTTCCTAAGATGGAAGTGGGGTGGTGGGCAGGAGAAAAAAGATGGGTCCTTTTCTCCTCCCTCCCTCTCCTCCTTCCTCCCTCCTTGCCTCCAGAGCTTACTGAACACCTGCCAGGTGACAGACCTGGGGAAATGCTGGAGATAAAAGGATAAATTGGGAACTGTCTCCATCCTCAAGCAACTCACACATGCATCCACATCCAGTGACAGTGTAGAGCGTGATTGGTCCTCATACCCAAACTCTGCAGGTTGGGTCGGGGCAAGAGGTAAGAGAGGAAGAACTGTGAGCAGGTCAGGGCGGCGTCAGTGCCCGGCCAATGACAAGCAAGTGTTCCTCAGATGCAGAGGAAAAGGCATTTCAGGCAGAAGCCATAGCGTGATGCAAGGAGCCAGGGGCAAGCAGAGCATGGCATAATCCTGGAACTCCTGTTCTTCTTTGGGTGGCATCAACCCCAAAACAAAACAGAGGTTGATTTCATTCATTCGGTAGAAAGGGATGCTGATTTCGTTGGAAAGCCCCTGCAAGGTGGACTTTGGTTCTGTAAGAATGTTTGCACTCCTCGAGGCCACAGTTTGGGCCTGACGTTCTTGCGAGATGGAGGGAGAGAAGAGAAACTTAAGTGTTTTTGTTCCTTTATCTCTACATTGCTGTTAATGTTAAAAAAGAAGGAAAAATCAAGAGTCCATGATCAAGGGATTGTTCACAAAATCATGGCAAAATAAAAGACTCCTTGGCTGCCATTAGAATGCCAGTTATGAAGATTAGGTAGCAACAGGAAAACATACTTCCGAAGTAAAATTCCGGTGACAGCCATGCAGAGATTGGGGGTGTCTTTTGATAGAGATTGAAGGGAACCTGCACAAAAATGGAAGTAGGTATGTCACAGAGACTAAGCTGATTCTAGTTTTTTAATTTATTTCAGCAATAAAATGTGGAAGGAAACAAAACGAATAGCCAAGCATTCTCTCCTCAATCCCACCCTTTCTGTCTCTTGTCTCTCTCTCCCTCTCTCTCTGACACACACACACACACACACACACACACACACACACACACACACACACAGAGATTTCCCACATCACACACACACACACACACACACACACAGAGATTTCCTCCATAAGAGGCGATTCTCTGACTTAACCAGTTGTAAACTGCTCCCCCTGTGCCTGGCACCATTTGTCTCCACATAGGCGTCAGGAGAGACCAGCGGGCTTCAGGAGACGGTTGGAGTGGCTGAGATCTTAGAAGCTGACACCTACACTCAAGCCCCGGTGAGTACTAGGGTGCTGCGTCATGTCATCCTGGTCAGCTTTTAGGGGGCTGCGTGTTCCTGGAGAGCGCCCAGAACCAACTGACGTCTCTATTCTCAGAGCTGTGACTTCAATTGTATGCTCATCAGAGCAGGACAAAAAATCACTGGCCAACATGCATTCTGCAAAATCCCCAGTGCAAGGGAACACCAGTGACCTGAATGCCACCATGTGCTATGGCTGCGAGAGGGCAGTGCTCTCTTGCCTCCCAGCTCTGTGACCTTGGATTACTTGCTCAGCCTCTGAGCCTCAGCTCCTCTTCCATAAAACAATAATCAGAGTCCTATCTCTAGGGGTCGTTGAGAGGATTAGATGAGACAGTGCAGGGCCAGATCTCAGACCCACGCCTGACATGAGCAATGTGGCTCTGCATGGCTGTTGTAACATTTACTCAGGACTCTGGCCATGAGAAGGAATCAGAGCCCCTGCTCCCGAGAGTTGCAAAGTCTTCCCTGGAGGTCACTTCTGGCCTCATGGGAAAGTCAGCCTTCCTCCCAGTGGCATCGACCTCCTCCTTCCTGGGAATGTAACCTGTGGCCAAGACAAGGAAGTGATGTCGAAAGCATTGAATCAGACTGTGGAAACACCAAGGAGCTCATTTTAATGAGAACAGCCAGCAGTTTCTGAGTCATCAAACACAGACGCTCCGGCAATCTCCTCAACTGGCCTGGATGACTCTATAAACTCATCTCTGCTAGAAGAGCAGAGATGGAAATAAGGCAGAGGCTATAAAAATGTATAAACCTCTGACAACAGAGGTGTGAGTGAGGAAGAATAGGGCCATAGTCTGTTAGTGCTGGAGGGTCACCTCTTTCTGTACAGAGGTGTACAAAAAACTCACCTTTGTACAGACGGGCAAACTGAGGCCCAGTGAGGGAAGAGACTGGCTCAAGGGTGTGTGGGCAGAGCTGGGACTAGAGCACAATTGCCCCTATGCCCCATCCGGGTTCAGGCCATGACTCTGAGCTGCTGGCCTGGGTGGCGTTGCAGAAGTCCATCCCCAGGACTGCAGCCAATTCTTGGGCAGCTCGGATGGAGGAAGTCAAGGGTCCAAGGTGGCCACCTAGGCAGTGACTGCTGTGAGCAGTGTTGCAATCCTGTGTGCCCATCAATCCTTGGCCACTCCATCAGCATGTCCAGGGCACAAAGTGGTGGTCCCTTGGACCTTTTAGACAGATGCTAACACCCAATGCACCCGTTCACAGCTAGAAGTAAGGCTGACTCAGGCAGAGTTGCCAGTAACCCAAAGTGGCCCTGGGAAAGGGACGGGAAAGGGGGCCAGGGTTTGAGAGCATGCAGTGATCATGGGGGCGGGGTCTGGTCAGGGAGGGCTTTCGGGTGGAGCGGGCATTGGAGCCGGGCAGCTTTGGACAGAAGTAGAGAAACGGTAGGAGAAGGCAGAGGACCAGCATTTCTCCATACCTACTGTGTGTCTGGCGCTTTGTATATATGACTTAATTTAATCCTTGCAACAACCGTGCAAGAGAGAGGGCAGTGGATAGATCCTCAGGAGGGCAGAGTGACTTTGCCAAGGTCACATGGTGGTAGAGTCAGGACCTTAGGCAGGGCCTCAGCCAGGGCCTCCTCCCCTGGGCAGTGCATGGCAGATATGGGTGTGCACTGCAGCCGGGAATGGGTACGGAATAAATCCCCAAAGTGTCTGGAGAAGTGAAAAAGAGATTTGATGGACTCGGTAGACTCCAAGGCACCCAACACTTTCCTTCCTAGATTCCCCAGTCCTACTCTCCTCAATGGTTTTAAGAGAGCTGGTATAGATGGGAGATCCACCAAGTATGAAGGCAGCGCAGCCACTTCCTGGTTGTTGACCAGGAGCCAGTAATTCACCTCCTGGATTCTCGGTTTCCTCTTTGGTTAGAATGCAGCGGACCTGCTTCACGGGGTTAGTGTGAGGGATGAAGTTAGTGTGAAACTGTGCGAGATATGGGTAGTTTGTGCTTGTTACTATTGACGATAGGTAATTGTAAGGATTAAGCAGGTGATATTAGTGTCTGTTCCTCTTGGGGCCACCTCCCCACCACCTGCTGCCTGGTTGGCTGGTGGCTGAGGCTGCCTACAAGTATACCAAAGCCCTGTGGCTGCCCTCGGTCCTTATGAGAATCCCCTCTCCCCGCTTCCCGCCCCCAGGGCTGTGTCTCTGAGCCGCAGGTACTGACCTAACCTGAATATCAGAATCCTTTCCTCGTGCCCCAGCAGCACACTCACTGCCTTTAGCCTCCTTGGCAGGGTGGTGTTTTTCCATTCATTCACAGAGGAGGCGCTGAGGCTTAGAAGAGGGAAGAGTTTTGTCCAAGGCTGCCCAGCTAAGAGGTAGCAGAGCCAGATCGCGGTGGGACCAGGGCACTGTCAGTCACATCGCCCCAGAGTGACTTCCCCTTCACCATCTCATGGAAGGGCTCCGTGGCTCCCCTCCCTGGCCACCCCTCCAGGAACGGGGGAGTTTCCCTCTTACCCTCAGACATTCTCCTCCCCTCACTGTCTGGCTTCTTTCTTGGAATGAATCTCACTTCCCTATCCTCATCCTTTCCAACTGCCACCCTTCAAGACACAAGCCATGACCAACAAACTGAATCTTGGCGTGCTTGAGCCTTCAGGGACTTAAAAAGCCAGCCCCTCCTCACCTCCTCCCCCATTTAGGGTCAGAGTCCCTGCTACCCCATTCTTCTCCCTGTTATCATCTTCTGCTGATACACCTTTCCATTTCTGGAAAGTTCTGTCTTATGCCGAGTTAGAATTAATATCCCTATGGTTCTCAGCCCTGGCTGTGCATAAAAGTTGTGGGGTGTGTGTGTGTGTGTGTGTGTGTGTGTGTGTGTGTGTGTGTGTGTGTGAAGAGGGAATACCAAAGGGGAAATTCTTTTAAAAAAAGACTTACTTGCCTGAGCTGTATACCTGGACATTCAGACTCAATAGGTCTGGAGTGAAGTCCAAGAGTTTGTACATGCAAAAAGCTTTGCAGGTGATTCTGACCCACAGCCAGGAGCCAAAACACTCACAGTTGCCCAAACACACCAAGCACTTTCCCGCTTGTCCATGCCTTGGCCTCCGGGCCCTGTTTGCCGGAGGGCCCTTCCCACTCCCACCCTGCCTGGCCAACTCCTACTTACCCTTCAAGATCCAGTCCATAGCTCCTCAGCAGAGGCTGTTGCCAACTCCCCTCTCCGAACTTGGCTCTGGTTTCTGCTGTTCCACTTGTCACATTCAATCACAAGTTAGTTGTGTCTGGGTCTGTGTCTGCGTCTGTGTTTCCCGCATAGTCCAACAGTTTGAGGACAGATCCCCTGTCTTGTTTATTCATTTCTGTATCCCCAGGGATCAGCCAAAGACCTAACACAGAGGATGGCCTCAGGACATACGTGTCGAATGAGAGTAGGCTCAGCACATCACCACACTTTTAATAAAAAAGTCTTAAGACTCGACATTCCTATTTTGTCACAGGCCACACTGGTTCTCTACCCACACTAACCTGTGAAAACCAACAACCGCCTGTTGGAGGCAGGACACCTGACCCTGATTACCGAGGGTCAGCTCGCCAGGTCTGAGCTCTGCCCTTGAAAGTGAGTTCTGGCTGCCTTGTTAGGAGTTTTCCAAAAGAGGTTTTTGGCTGACAGACTGCAGTCAGTGATTTCAAGTAACTCAGCCTTTGCCACCTTGAGTGATAGAGCTCAGCCCACCCTTACCTTGCTGTCCTGTGTTTCCCACATGCTCACCTGCCCTACCTGCCTTGTCTCAAAGCCCAAAGTTCCTTATAAAGCATCTTCACTTCCAGCCACTAGCAGCCTTGCTCCAAGCTAGAGACAGGCTTTCTTGAGACCATCAGGGACCCCTGGTGGGGTGGCTTTAACACTGGACCCTGGCAGGGAGAGGAGAACTGCCTACGACATGGTCCTTGCCGCCCTGCCAGGTCACCACGCAGCTGGGGAGAGATGGAGTAGTTCTACATGGTCTTCACAGCACCCCTCCCCCCGACACACCCCACTGCCTGGCTCCCTCCTCACCAGGCTTCTTCATTGCAGCTTCCTGGTCTCCGGCCTAACCTCAACTCCCCAAATCTATGTTCTCACTGGCACCAGGTGAACTCCCCTGCCCACGCCACCACCCAGCCTGATACCCCACAGATGCCCCAGGTCCAAGGCCAGACTTCTCACCAAACACCAGCCCCGCTCCCTCTCTCTGCCTCCTAGCTCTGTTCTCCTGCTTCCAGGCTCAGGCCCTCACCAAGCTCAGGTTTTCAGGCTCTGAAGATGCCGTGTCCTTTCTAATCTTAACGCCTCCTTCCACCTCTGTTTTCTGAAACTCTGCTCATTATTTAACTTTCGGTTCCTTGAAACCTTCCAGCCCTGCCTCCACCCTGAGATTTCATAGTACAATAAGCTGTCTCTTTTTTTTTTAATACACAAATATTCCATATTCATTATTTTTTTTAAAAAAAAATTGAAAGTGCAGATACAAAAAGATAAAACAATCATATCTAATACCAACACTAAGAGAAAATCACTATCGAGGTGTTGGTCTTTCTCAGACTTTAGAATTCTAACGATGTTGATGACAGCTGCCATTGATGGGCTCATACTCTGCCCTGTACTAAGGACCTTCATGCATTTTATATCCTGTAAATCATTATCATTGGCCCTATTTTACAGAGGAGGAGGCTGAGGCTCAGTGAGGTTATGTGACTTGCCCAACATAACGTAGCTAATAAGTGGAGAGCTGGGATTTGACCCAAATTTGATTGTAAGAACAAATCCTGTTATAGGGCCCACGACAATCCTCCTTGTTTTAATGAAGCAGAAATTCATCGTTTATACACTATATTCTGACATTAAGAAAATTAGTCAAGATAAGTAAGTAATGGCTTCAGTCGTAAACTAACCCTGAAATCTTAAGTGTCTTAGTTGTTTCTTGTTTACATCACACATCCAACACTGATTAGCAGGATCCTTCCATTCACCCCCTCCCTGGTCCCTTGAGCTCAGAAAGCGACGAGACTATTTGAGTACTAACAAGCCGTGGGTCTCAGGAGCTGCTACCTGATTCTGGGTCTGGGGATGGTATCGTAACCTTTGCTGCCCCTCATCAGGATTTCTGCCTAGATCTCTGAACTCTTTGGTGTTTCCAACCGTTGGGGGTTTTTGTTGTTTTTCCCTAGTAAAGTTGGTTAAGACATTGACTGGCTTTGGAAAAGCTACCCAGAAAGCTGAAGTTTACTGGAAATGGAACTATGCCCATCTCTTATTTTCAGAGGCATGCATGACCAGTGCACATCTGAGATTGGATTTATGTAGTATTTACTGAGTGCAGCCTGCTTCATTCATTTGTTCATTCATTCATTCCCTCATCTAACAGATCTTTATTGAGCATCTCCTCTGTGCTGGCCTGGGATGCGGAAATGTAGTCTCTGTGCTCAGAAATTAGCAGAGTCTCATGGTAAACGGAACAGAATTAAATTACTCCTAGCGTGTATCTTTTTCAGGCCTGGGAGGTTCAGTGATTGACCACCTACACAGTAGGCAAGTCTAGGCTTTTTTCTGGGCTTATTCGGCACTTTGTGAATATATATTTTTCTCCAACAGTGTTCACTGCCGTTTTTTACGCTTTCCTGCTAAATAAATCCTTGCGGGTCTTATTTTTTCTTCCTTCAGTATAAAGAAGCAGAAGTCAATCCCATAAACACACCTCCAACTCTATCCCCTCCCTCTGAGGATGTGGAGCTTTCCGGCGAGCCTGTACCTGAGGGGACCCAGGAAACCACCAACCTGAGCGTTGTCCTGCATAGCAGTCCTGAGCAAGGCAAGTCCTGGCTGCACCATCACACAGCCTGGTTGGTTTTTTATTGAGTGATGACTGCGTGCCCGGCCTGGGTGATGTGTGGAATATAGAGCATTTCATTTAACCTTCTCCTCAACCCCTTGAGGAAGGAATTATAATTGTCTGAATCTGACAAACGAGATGGGGACATCAAGGCACCCAGAGGAGGCTCTGTGGTTTGTAAATGGCAGAGTTGGCTTTTAATCTCGAATACCTGAACTTTCGATCCCCAGACTTCACCCCTCCAGAAGGACCTGGGGCTTAACAGAAAAGCTTGTAATAATTGTCGCTGCTTATTAAATACCTACTGTGTGCCAAGTGTCCACATACTTCATCTCCACCCCTGACCACACATTTCCTCGTTGCTATTATTAGCCAGTATTTTACAGACGGAAGAACTGATGCTTGGAAAGGTAAGTGACGTGCCCACAAGCACACAGCTGGTGGGCAGTGGGACAGAACCGCTGCCCAGGCCTGACTTCAGAATCCCCACTCCTCCCAGCCTTGGCCACAGACTCCTTGGCTCTCAGAGGATCAGGCCATCTAAACTCCAGTGCAGCACATGTGGGAAAACTAACAGAGGACCAGAGAAGGGCAGTGCCTCGGAGGTCCACGGCTGGCCCAAAGGCAGCACCCTTGCCCCCACTCAGCTGTAGAGAAGAGCACCGGCAAAAACCCAAGATCTGGCATGATCCCTCAGGTGGCAGGTTGACATGTATCCAAGGCTTGAGATCAGCCTGCATTTTCTGCCCTTATCAGAGGGGTAACCATTTCAGACCAAGTTATAGTCAATGCCAGAACACCGAGACTTAGGTACAAGGTCAAAAACAACCCAGGCACTCATAGTAGGGATTGGTGGGGCAAATTGTATTTCATTCATATGTACAGCCCTGAAAGTGGTGAGTGCCTTTGAATATGTTATTTATATCTATTTATACATAGCCATGTAGAGTTGTGTGTGTGTGTGTGTGTGTGTGTGTGTGTGTGTGTGTGTGTGTATGAATAATGTACAACAAAATGCTATGAGTAATTATCTTTGGGTGGTAGGGTTGTGGGTGGTTTCAATTTTCTCTTTTTGTAGTTCTATAGTTTACACATCTTTTACAATTATATATATCATTGTTCTTTTTACTTCTGCCATCAGTAAATGAATGTTATTTTAACAACTGAACTTGGGAAGTCTGTGGGTGAGAGAAGGTATGCAGTACTGACTAGAAAAAAAAAAAACCAGTCTGATAATTTAATAAAGTCTTAATACAGCCAAGGAGTCAGGGCGTTGCTGTGGAAAGACTGTGGGGCCAGGAGCAGACAGTTTGGATGGAAGCCCTACTCAGCCAGCCGCCTATCGGCTGTCCGGCCCTGAGCAAGTTGCTTAACTTTTTCAAGCTTTAGATTCTTTAAAGGTCCCCTGGGAGTGTTTATAATCCCTGCCTCCAGGGTGGATGAGAGGTTGTGGAAGTGGTTTATGAATTGCGAGTGCTGTTCTCTGGGTGGAATTAAGATCTCTGAGGAGGGGCGAGAAGGGAGCAGAGGCTGCAGGGCCCAGGGTGAGGGCCTGTCCTGGACCGAAAGGTTCAAAGGAGGTGGGAGCCAAGCAGTCTAGGACCCAGATCCAAGCACCGCTGGCCAGTTCCTTGGGATCAGCCAGACTCTTTCTCTGGCACACAAAAGGCCAAACGAAAACAACCGAGCTGGCTGAAATCTTCCCGTTCTTGTTGCATAGACAGCCCAGATGACGAAGAAGAGGGGCCCTGAACCCTGTGCCCCGCCCCTGGCTAGGGAAAGCCACCTAATAGTTTTATTCCAAGTTTCCTTGACACCATTTTGCCCCAAAGCACATACCACTCCCACCTTCATCCTCCAAGGGGTGTGAACTTAGAGGCCTGGGGTCTGGCCGCTGCTTGCACAGTACCCCCTGGTGGTCAGCGCCGGGAGGATGCGAAAGTGACAGGGGATGTACTTGTGTGCCCAGGGTCTTTGAATAATTCAGCACGCCTCCCCCCGCCCGCCGCTCCCATACACACACTGTTCATACCATGGAATATACGTGAGCACGGCGTGTGTGGAAGTGGCTGGGCATGGGGACAGGGGACCTGGCTTCAGGGCCTCTCCCAGCCGCCAGCTCCCTGTGGGACCTGTCCCTTCTCTGCAGGGGTTAATAGTAATAAGGTGCTAATGTGCCGATCAGAGCAGGCCACACACTCCACAGGTGATAGCGGGGAGGCCGAAAATATGGGATTCTGTCCTGGTTCTGCCCGCCGGCTGCAAAGTGGATAGGAAGGTCCTTCTAGGTAGGACAGACGGGCCAGCGGGAAGATGAAGTGAGACATGCTTAGCCTGGGGCCCAACCTATAACAGGCATGCATTCGTGTTAGCATAATTTCTTTTTCTTTGCTTTAGGACTCCATGTGTTTTTTAAATTGCAAAAGAAATATGTGCTTGTGGTAACAGTTCAATCAGAGCAGAGTCGTAGGAGCCAAAAAAATAGAACTTTCCTATCCTCTGGAGGAAACTAGTATTGAGTATTTTGGTTTAGCCAAGGTGTGGTTTATCTGCACACACACAGATTTCCATATATATATATCTACATATTGTATATGTTATATGATAACTGTATTAATTATGCGATGCTGATGAAACATGTATACTCATATATAATTTTTCTCCCCTTACAAGTGGAGAACCACACTGACAATGAACATTTATTGCTAACTCTATGCCAAGGGCTGTCCTTGATGCATTTCTTACATTAATTTATCTAATCCCTGTAGCACATAATCCTCAAAACCACCCTATGAGATAGGAATTATCCCCAGTTTATAGATGAGGAACCTGAGGCACAGGTTAGGCCACTGGCCACAGGTCACTCAGTGACAAAGTGAGGTTCCAGCCCTGCTGTTGATGCCAGAGCCTGTGATCCAAACCACCAGGTAAAACTGCCTTTCAATGTCTGGTTTTCTGCGAATTCATTTTGTTGTTGTTGTTGTTGTTGTTTTTCCTCACCTCTTCATCCTGTTCTCTGGACACCTTTTCAAAACAGTCAGTGAAGAGGTACCTCTTCTTTTTCAAGATTGCGAAATGCAGTTATTAAGTACAGAATGTCTGCTTCCTTAGGGTGCGGCGAGATCCTGAATGACACGCGGGAGGGAGTTCGTACTGTGGACGGTGCCCCCATTACAGACATTGGCTCGGGGTGTGGGGCCTTCCCTCAGGGCACTGAAGAGGTGAGCGAATGGTAAATTGATAAGACGATAGTAAATCTGTTTGCTTCTTTCCAACTTGATGGCCTTGAGCACTGTAGAGAACTATGGGGATTTTTGGTTGAACGTAGTGGAGACTGCCTCCCTTCTGCTGGTACAGAGGAAGCGGGAGTCCTGGGGCCCCAGAGGCTCTCCAGGGATGTGCCTGGGACTGGAGGAGGAGATGCATGCAGCACAAGCTGGTCCTCATACCGGCCCGGGCATGAAAGCTGGGCAGTTTGACCCTCTTCAAGCTAGAATCAGATTAACTGTATGTGTGTCTGTCTACTCTATGATTTGGTAATTGGCTTTTATACCCACAAAGCAAATTTTTTAAATGCTGGATACAGTCAGGTGCCAAATTAAAGAAAATATAGTTTTCTCACAATGATCTCCGCTAAAATCCCACAGGGTCAGCTTGTTCTTTCTGCTATTCTAGGGTGAGAACTCAGACAATTCTCATACTCTCCCAGTCGCTATCTGGGAATAGCCTGTTTTTACAGATATTTTCAAAGTCCAGTCTCACATAATATCAAAAATTTGGTCCTTTTGTCTCTCAAATTCCGAGGAATACATATCCAGCTCATCAAATGGTTTGTGATAAGGAGAGAGGAAGGAGTAAGCCACAGTACACTGAAAATTCTCTCCAGAGGAATTCCTGCTCTCCCCAAATGAATTCTTTTCCTTTTCTTATATAGCCTGGAGACAGGTGATGATAGAACTGATTTAATTTCACTGTCTCTTAGCATGTCCCACACAAGTGGTTTGGTTTCTTCATTTAGCATGTAGAAGGTACCTAATGCCTGTGGAATTGTACTTACTCGTACAATTAATTAGTTAATTGTACTTAATTGTAAAGCCTTTGGGACTTTAGCTGAAGCAGAGTCAGAAAGAGTCTCATTTTAAAATCTATGACATCATCTTTTCTCGTTTTTTTATTTATTTTTATTTTTATTTTTATTTGACAGTAATTCTGCAAGGACTTAATATGATATCATTCTTTCGGGCTCTGAGAAGTCCTGCAGCAAGGAAATCTAACTTTGATCAGCTTAGCGTTTTCAGTGTCCAGAAGAACTACTTTTTGCAAAACAAAACAAAGTAGAACCACCCCAAAATTAAAAGTTAAAAAAAAACCTTGAAAACTGAGATAAAACATAGTCAGTTTGGTGGCACCAACAGCCAGAGCTGTTTTGTTTCCATTTCATGCATCTGCTGTGTAACTTGTAGAAGTCGTATATTTGCCAAGAAAACTAAATCACAGGGCAAGAGAGGAAGCAGATGTCTAGTCTGGAGAAGGCAGAGGAGGGCAGAGATGCTGCCTGCACATCTTGAAGCACCATCATGGACAAAGACATTCAACTTGTTCTTATGGTTTCTGGATGGGCACATAAGAAAGGTCACAGGGAGGTGGATGTGTCTAGATAGAAGTGTCTAGAGCTGGAGCAGGCTGACTCAGGAAGCAGTCATCTAACGGTCACAGGTACATACAAACAGGAAACATAGATGCCTTGCAGTCTCTCCTGTCCCTGTGATTCTGTAATTCTGGGACTGTCGTGGGGCGGGGGTAAAGTCACAGGTAAGAAAGTGCTCTGAGAGAAAGAAGCTATAGAAATGCAGAATGATGGAGGGGTGTGGGCAGTCTGTTCCCTCCAGCTACAGGCACGTTGATGAAGGCCATGGGCCCAGTGATGTGGTCCTTCATGATGCCTTTGTTCCAGGGTCCACATACAGAAGACGGTTTGGCAGCCACAGCAGCAGCTGGAGAAGCTGAGGTGACCACCAGCACTGCCAGGGAGACCGAGGTGACTGTTAGCACTGCCGAGGAGGCTGAGGTGATTGTCAGCCCCGCTGAGGAAGCAGAGGCCAGCAGTGTGCCCACCGAGGTGCCAGCCCTCTCCATGACCACCGAGGACCCCGGGGAAAAGCTCACTCTAGTAAGCATCTCAGAGTGCATGTTCCACTTCACCTCTTTCCGGGAGATGGTGGGTGTCTCAGGTGGGAGCAGACCCTGGCCTTTCTCATCTGTCTACAAAATGCAGAGTGACAGCCTTGTGGGGCTAAGTCCCAATAGACACTCATTTGGAGGTCGAAGCTTCTGTTGACTCATTCAGCAAATGTTTGTGGGATGTTGCACTGCGCCAAGCACCACGTAAATCGAATAGGCCAGTTCCTGGGGACAGAAGGTAAGAGGTGCAATAGGAGAAGCATAGGGGGCTCTGGCAGCACCAAAAAGAGGGCCAGCACCCAGACTCACAGGCCCAGGTGAGACCCAGGGGATACTTAGAAGTGGCCTAGCAGATGGGAATGAGACAGGTGGTCCAGGAGGTGGGCCAGCAGGGGCAAAGGACTGGAGGCATCAAGGGAGCTTACAGAGACCTAAGGAAGTGCAGCCACCTGCCTGTGGGGTCAGGTGTGAGGGAGGGGCTAGCAGGGGAACACGGCTGGAAAGGCTTCTGAGACAAGGAAGCCACGAGAAGGAGCCTGAGAGTGTTCAGCAGAAATGGGAATCGCCGAAGGGTATTAAAGAAGAAAGTGACATCGTCAGAGTAGGTTTTAGAAAGATCACCTGCCCCTGAGTGGAGAAAAGAGGGGGAAGGAAGCCTGGAGTGGGGATGGTTCGAAGGCCGTGTCTCGTTCCAGATGAAGGTGGGTTTGGTTAATGATGTCAGGTCTGGCCAAGATTCCTAGTGAGTAAAGGCCTGAAGAGCAAGGCGTCTGTTGGATCTGTCGCCGTGACTATCAGTGACTTGGGAGAGGGTAGTTAGGGATGTGGGAGGGGTAGAGGGCAGAGGCACTGAGCGAGGAGAGTAAGGCGAGGAGGTGGTTAATGAGGCCACCCCTTCCCCAAGAGAGCTGTGTACGCTAGACCTGGGTTTTGTCCGAGCACCGTGACTGGAGTACTCCGTGGAAGTGCCACTCTCGGGAGGAGCGGAAGGAAGATGGCAGGGACTGCGGGAAGTGCCATGTCACTGAGGTTGGCAGGAAGGAGCAGGGTGAACACAGAGGCAGCCTCCTGGCCAGGGCGCTCCCACTGTGCGTGGTGGGCAAGATCTGGGTTTCTGTGTGGGCGCCACAGTCAGGGTGGTGGTGTAAGGTGAGGCCTGGGATGGGCAAGTGCTTCAAAGGTGAGGGAGCAACAGGACACAGGTGCAGGAGAGGCCCCCGCCATTCATGCCTCCCAGCCACAGCGCGGTGGATCACTGACGTGGTCCCTCCTGATGTCCTATTCAGGGTCCAGATACTGAAGAAGGTTCTGGGACGACAGCAGCAGGGGAGGCTGAGATGCCCGCCAGCACTGACTGGGAAGCGGAAGCTGGCAGCGTGCCCACTGGGGGACCAGCCCTCTCCATGTCAACCCAGGAGTCTGGGGAAGGAGTTGCTCTGGTAAGGAGTGTAAAGTGCTGGGTGCTGAGGTCATGGCTGGGAGCGGACTCTGGCCTTCTCAGGGCCGGTCTTCATTCTGTTCAGCAAATCCAAAGGAACCCGAATGGGGAGGGGACACCTCCTTAACCAAATACCTACTCCTGGGAGAGCGTGTGGTAAGGCCCCTGCAGGCCCGTGGGGAGCTGCCCGGGAAGATGGGTGAGTCAGGGAGGTGGGGTTGAGTCCCAGGGGCCCACCGCCTCCACCAGTGGACCTCAGGGCCAGGGAGGAAGAGTGCTGGGCTGTGAGCCGGAGAGGCGATGGCGGGCTCAGCCATGGCCTGCTTCTGAGTATGAGCACAGGCTGCCAGAGGGCAGCGGAGGGCCGAGGTGCAGGCAGGCCCCAGCAGCGTCCACGGGCATGGCCAGGCCTTCTCAGCCCTCTCCCTAGGCAGCGTGGAGACACTCTCGCCAGCTTCTAAAGGCAAGACACAAACATGCCAGGACACTTGGCAAGTCTGTCCCTGTAATGTCACTATAATGTGTGTCCTACAAGTTGTTCAAGCTCAGCAGATTCAAACCTCGACTCCTCGTTTCTGCTTCTCCTGACTTCCCACCTCAAATGAGTGAGACCATCGTCCCAGTCCTAGTCCAGGATTCTTTTCCCTCTTCCTTCCTTCCTAGATCCCATCAAGCACCACGTCTTGTTGATTTTTCTGCCTAAGCACATGGTGGACCCAGCCCCTTGTAACCTTCTCCAGTGCCAGCCCCCCTGGACTGAGCCACCAAGTTCCCAGCCCAGGCGATGGCTGAGGCCCCTGCCTGGCCACCTCCATCCTCTCCCTCGATGCCTCCTGGTGGGGGGTGGCCCTCCTGCAGACCCCGCTCCCGCACCTGGCCTTCAAGGCTCCCAGGGTCTGGCTCGGCCCGCTGCGCTGACCGTGTCTTGGGAACCTCTTCCTGGCTCTTGCGCTCCAATCTCACTCACCTTCTTTCCTTTCCTTCTGACCTTCTAACCTTTCTTGCCTCAGAATCTTCCCATACTCTCTCCTCTCTGCCTAGAACCTTTACCTCCCTCCTGCTCTCCTTAGTTCCTGCTTACCCTTCGGAATTCAGCTCAAACTCCACTTTGTCTAGGAGGTGCCAGCCCAGACGGGGACACCTCCCCGCAGACACCTTCATGGTCCCCCCAACTTCTCCTTGGAAGCCCTCATCATAACTGTAATTAATAGCAAACTTGACAAATAGTTCATTTCTGCCTTCCTCCCAGACTGTAAGCTCTGTGAGGCAGGGATTATATACATCTTGTTTGTTGAAATATCTTCATCCCTGCAAATGGCGAATCAATGGATATTTGCTGAGTGAATGCCTGGAAGAAGGTCATCAGACTGTCACATATCAACAGCACTGGCCTTTGAGATCACTCCACACATTTGCTCCCAGCCTTTCACCTCTGGTCTGGTGTCCGTCCAGTGAACCTTCGCAGTGGACAGGGTACACTCTGATCAGTTGACAGCTCTCCAGGCCCCTGGGCAGTTACATAGATTGTTGTAATTAACCAAGTGGTCAGCACCATTTTCTTTTCCTTCTTCTCCTTTCGTTTTCATCTCTCATGCCTCGACCTTCATTTCTCTCCTGCCCCTACTTCTTTAAAGGCAAAGCCCTTGTCACAGGGTGAGAAAACTAGGCACCAGATCCCAGTTCAACCAAGTCTCGACTCCATAGAAACTAGAACTTAACTAGCAGAGCTGTCTGGAAGCAGAAAGGCCGCCTGCGGAAGTGGCGAGCACCCAGTTACTGAAGATGCACAGGCTGAGGTGCCTGGTGGGGACCCCGGGGGATGAAGGAGATGACCTGAGAGGTCTTAGCTGAGCAAAGGAAGGGGAACTATGGCCATGCCCGTTATCTGATGGCCCCAGAAGTTTCCTCCCCACCGTCACAAACCCACTGACCAGGGGTGTGGACGAAGTGGCACGGTCCCTCACGCCAACTTTGTTTTAGGGTCCAGTCAGTGAAGGAAGTTTGACGACAGCGGCAGCTGCTATGGAAGTGTCCCTCAGCACTTTCAAGGAAGAGGAGGCCACTGACGGCCAGGCTCCCCTTACGCCCACGGCGGCCCCTGGGCAAGCAGTCACTTTTGTAAGTGTCTCCCAGTAGTCTCTCACAGGGGAGCAGAGAAGTCAGTGTGCTGGCTTTCCCAGAGACAGAGATGCATTCAGCTTGTGGAGGTTACCAACTGCAGGGAGGCAGGATGCAATGGAGAGAGCATGACAGAGGGGTCAAGGAAACGGGTTTTTGTCCTGACCCTGCTATTTCTTAGCTTTGTCCAAGGAGAACTTTCTCAGAGAGAATGGTCCAAAGTCATAAGGGGGAGGGGTACTGAGCACTCCATTACTAGGGAGAGGGGCTTAGAGGAGATGCGTATTTCAGAAGCGGGTTGAGAGTCTGTGTTTCTGTGAACGTGTTGGGGGTAATGACAGTTGTAGGTAAGAAAGTGTTTTTTGAAATTGGGCTAGTGCCATAGAAATGATAGTCACCAAAACTCACTGGCAGGCAGCTCTGTGTACATTGCATCATGGGCGAGGTGACGTGATGCCTTGTGTTGGTTTTGCTTGCAGGGTTCTGGCGATGAAGAAGACTTAGCAGCAGCCACAACAGAGGAGCCTCTTACCATATCTGGGGCAGAGGAATTGGGCAGCACTCCCCCTGATGGACCCCCACTCCTTGTACCCACAGTGGCTCCTGAAGGAACTGTCATTCCCATCACTCCGCTAAGTGGTGCAGAGGTGTGAAGGTTTGATTTGGCCAGTCTTGCAGAAGAGGGAAAGAAAGGCTCAAGTCCTGGGATGGGCCTGTTCCTGGCTTTCTCAGGGGTGGGCTTTCATTTTGGTTTGCAACATACCCAATTTGGGCATTTGAAGGGCCTCCAGGCTGGGAAGACACAAGGAAGCTGCGGCTTGGAAAAAAAAAAGCAAGGGGTAAAAATCTAGGGCACCTGGCTTCATGTCTGAAATGGCCCTTAAATTGCGATGAGAACTTTTTGCCGGGCAGAGCTGACCAAAGATACAAAGGCCTGTCTCAAATGTCAGGAGATTGCTGTGAGACTCGGCAGGAATTGCAGAGGGAATGGAAGCATCAGAGGTGGTTGGGGGTGATCCTGCCTGTGAGACTCGGCAGGAATTGCAGAGGGAATGGAAGCATCAGAGGTGGTTGGGGGTGATCTTCAAGTCCCCTCCAAAGCAAGTTTCTGTGATCCTGGGCTGCACCTGTGCAGCCTCACACAAATCCTTTTTTTTCTTTGGGCCTCATTTTCTGTCTGCAAAAGAGGGTGGCTGGGACGTCAAGTCATTATACTGATCGTGCTTTATCTGTTCCACCACCTACCACCACCTTTTGGGAGCAGAGCAGAGGGGTGGGCTGGAGTATTTTGAAACAAATCTCAAACATTATTATCATTTAACTCGTAAATTCTTTAATATTGCAAATAGGTGGTTGATCTGGGATCTTTTTTTTTAGCCACGATATCATTATCCATGTAACAGATTATCAATGGTTCTTTCCTATTATCTAATACCATAGTTTAAGAAACATCTTTTTACTAACATTTGTTTAAATCTGAACCCAAACAAGGTCTACACGTTGCATTTGATTGGTGTGTCTCTTGGTCTCTTTTAATCTATGGTTGTGTCCCACCTTCTTTTCTCTTTTCGCCATTGATTTGTTGAAGACACTGGGTCAGTTGACCTTAGACCCTTTGTGTTTTCTGCTTTGAGAAGCAGGCGCTCGATGGGAGGTGGTGTGACCAGCTATGCTGGTGTGGTGTCCATGGCTTTACTGGGAAGTTTTGTGTCGATACATACTAACATCCCAGAAACTTCTGTTCTAGTCATCCATCCTCCAGGAGATCATCTGATATGTAAAAAGGCTTTGCGTACAAATATTTTAATCTGTTTCATCCATAATAGAAAAAAAATTGAACACGGTTTAACTAGGCAATTAGGAGATTAATTGAATTAAAGTATATCCAAATAATGGAACATAGGTAGCTATCAACATTATACTTAATGATAGGGGGAAATACCATACAGTGTTAAGTGGAAAAAGCTGGTGATAAACTTGAGCATTTTGTGCGGTCTTTACTATTTTACAAATAGACACATGCAAAAACCCCGGAATGAAATACCCTCCCTAAATGTTAGCAGTTGTTGCCTCAAAGTGATAGAACTTTGAGGGTGGTTAGTTTCCTAACACATGTTGGTGTTTCCACTATCCCCCGACGAGTTTTACAATGGGATTTTTAAACAGCTCTAAGAAAAGAGGTGTGCAAGTGCAGGGATTGGTACTGTGGGGGTGAGAGAGAAAGGAGAAAGGGAGAAATGAACACACACTACTTCATCCTGGCACGTAACTGATGAGGACAGATAACCCCCGAGTGTTGAGAGTCTGAGATGAATGGAAATGGATGTCCTGATTCCCGAGCAAATGGTTTAAAAGTACAATAAGGACAGTCGAGAGAGCATCCATCCACTCTGGAATGTCTTTACGATCATTTTAAATCTCAGTCACCCAAGGCGGTGGGTGAAAGGGGCATCCCACATAACTGGGACAAAATTCTTCGTCTCTCCCTGTCTGCTCGTGAATAAAATGAGTATCATCATACCTACCTCTCAGGATCAAATGAGTTAATACATGGAAAATTTTACCTAGCACATTGTACATGCTCAATAAATTCAGTATATAGAATTTTTTGTGGATGAGGCCCAGAGAGGGTTACGGGTTTGCTCAAGGTCACACAGATCCCAGGAGTCGAGCAGGGGGTAAGAGTCTTAGTGTCTGGACTTTCTACTTTTGTTTTCTGCACTGTCCATAACCACCCATCTTCAGACATGACCCAGAAGTTGATCAGCAAATCCTGCAGTGGTCCAAATGAGGTCATCCCATTTCTAAGGTCTTCCCACTAGCTGTGTGGCAAACAATTATCAAGAGCCTATTATCAGCTGGGTACAGATGACACAGCAGTGGCTAGATATTAGGTAGATACTAAAAGGATGTTTTGGAAATTCTCTTTTGTTCTTTGGAGGGATTGATGGCATTCGACAAGTATGCCTTCTTGTGCTGGACCTGGGCACTCAGAGGTGTGTCAGGATTGGGCCAGTCCTGGAGGGGTCCTAGTCTAGAGGGGCAGACAGACACACACACATGAGCTTCAAGTCAGGTGGTCTTGACACCAAATTGAGACCTAAGAGAAACTGCCGGGAACACAGAAGAAGAAGTGAATTTTGTCTGAGAATGGGGCGGGGAGGAGGACTTCAAAAGGAGGTGACCATGGACCTGGGCCTTGAAAAATGAGTGGAAATTGGCAAGATAGGAAAGGAGGCTGAAGAGAAGATGTGGAAGTGTGTAGTGTGTTTGAGGATGGGCTGCGTGTCTGCTGCACAGCTGGGAAGTGGCGAGGCAGGAGGGCAGCCGTAGAGGAGAGTGGGAGGAGGGGCCAGAAGGAAAGGTGGCAGCAGGAGTTAATAGAGCTATGGAGTACGGGAAAACATCCAGTGACATGGCTGTCCTTGGGGAATGGCAGCTGAAACCAAGTTTTGGGAATTTCTTCCCTGCAGGTGGGAGCGGAGGCTGAGGGCTCCGGTCTGGACTGGGGATCGGACGTCGGCTCTGGCTCTGGTGACCTGGTGCGCAGTGAGGAGCTGTTGAGAGTGAGTGTGAAGGATTAAAAGGCCTGGTGCCTGGGATGACCTTCGCGACAATCCGGGAGGGACGGACTCGCAGGCGGACACCAGATGAAACCAGACTGGCCACCGTCAGTGACTGTTGAGGCTGATGGTGGGCTTCTGGGAGTTCATTATACTTTTCCTTCTACATTTATATATTTTTGTATATGTTTTCCACATCCATCAGTTTTGGTTTATTTTAAATGAGTTGGAGCCTAAATTTATATTCAGGACCTTCACTTCGCCACTTGCCTCCTTTCCCTGGCAGCCTTCTCCATCAGGTGTGTTCAAGTTCATGACCTTCACCTCTGTGAACTGGCTTCTGCCCCCCAACACCCCTTTACCTGTTACAGAGACCTGCTGGCCTTTTCTCTAGATAGCATTTCACACTGTGGTTTCTAGACCTTTCGTTAAATCCTCCTTGCCCTGAGGCAACCCCCTCCACGCCTCTCTACACCACTTCTCCTACTGCTGCCTCTCGCTTCTCTGACTTCCTGCCCAAGGCTGAGCCCCCACTGGTCTGTCTCTGAGTTGCCCCCATGGAACACCTCCCTTCTCCAGCTGCCGCTGGTACCTCTGTCCCCAGCCCCCGCCCTCATCTCCAGCCCTTCTTCTGAGCCCCTGTGCTGAATCCTCACGTAGAAGGCTGCCCCTCTGCCCACTCATCACGACAGGGTTGGGAGGGTTTAGGATTCACTACCAGAGGCTAAAGAGACTACTAGCACATTGCAGGAAGCTTTTTTTAACAATGGGGGTTAACACGACAGGCATTTTTTGACTGACCTGTAATTAATCAGAAAACTGAATTAACCAGAGCATCTCTGAGAATTCTAACAAATTGGATTTTATTGTATACCTACATCTAGGGAGAAAACATGCTCTAATGGGCTCAGAAAGACCTGCATTCAAATCCCAGCTCTTCTACTAATTAGCTGTGTGTGTGTGACGCCTTCGGCAAGTCACGTCATCTCACTGAGCCTCAGTTTCCCCATCTGCTAAGTGGGAACACTAGTCTCTACTTGTAGGGTTGTTGTAAGCAACAGAGAGAACGGATGAAACATACATGTTCAGTATATATTTATCTTCTTCCTCGTTGTTTCTTAATAGACTATCTGTTTTCTTAGGGTCCCCCAGGCCCCCCAGGCCCACCTGGCTTACCGGGGATTCCAGGAAAACCAGGAACTGACGTTTCCCCGGGACCCCCTGGATCTCCTGGAGAGGATGGAGCTGCGGGTGAACCTGGGCCCCCGGTGAGCCACTGAAGTCATCGCTTCTCTCTGTGGCCATGGGGTTTTCTCTAGCCAGGGAGGAACGTGCAGGCTGGAGACCCCAGCACTGTCCAAGCTCATGGCGGAGAGCGAGCAGCAAGCTAACATTTGTAAACAAAAATCTTCAGCCAAGTCATTGTTGAGAAGCAGCAGCCAAGAAAAACATCATCCTACACATCGTTTGCTGCTTTATCTTAGTCAGCATAGGAAAAGCAGACTCATGTGGAATCTTAGAATCACAGGGCATCAATGCTAGGCGTGGGGTGGGAGCCCCTTGGAGACCATCTAGTCCAACCTTGCCCCTGACTCCCCCACAGAAGAGAAAACTCAATCCAGAGAGCAAAAGGTACTCATCCACAGATGCTCAGCCAGCAGAGGCCAAGCTGTGCCATGGACCTGGCACAAGGTCCTGGACCCACCAGCCTCACCTGCTGGGTCCTCCCAGTCCTGGTGTCCATTTCTAGGGAGGGTTTGTATTTGATTCTTATTAAGGATGTTGTGGGCTGATTGTCACGGTTGTTCCCCAGGGCCCAGAGGGACAGCCTGGACTTGATGGAGCCTCTGGCCTTCCTGGGATGAAAGGAGAGAAGGTACAAAGAAGGTGGGAGGGTTCCAATACGGGGGAGCACATTGCCTCTCTGACCTCTAAACCTGACCTTGTCTCTTCTGTGACTGGCCCTCTCTAACCCCCTCCTGGTCCTCTCCGCTGGATGTCCCCATCCTAGGAGTCTTTATGCCCAAACCTGAACTCAGCATCTTCTCCGCCCACTCCTGCAAGTCCCCAGCTTCAGTGAATGGTGCCGCCTTCTATCCAGTCACCTGGGACCCCAAAGCAGAGTCTTCTCTAACTCCCCCTTTCTCTCCCTTTCTTGCCACGATCTGTCTGTTGCCAAGACTGGCCAGTCTGATGTCCACATCTCTCAGCTCTCTGTCCACCTGCTCTGACATTCGTTTTTCCTTACTCTCACTGCGGCATCGGGCTCCTCACTGGTGCCCCAGCCTCCACCCACTTGCCTAGTCCACTTTCTGCAGGAGGCTCTCATAAGTCGCTTCCCTCTTCTCAGAGACAATACCAGCATCGCCCCACTGCCTGCAGGACAGAACCCTAACTATGCACAGACCCTCAAGGCCCTTCCTGACCTGCTTTACTAGCTCTTCCTACCCCTGGGCCCTCGCATGGCCTCCAGGTCTGCCAGCTCGGCTGAAATGCTCTGGGCATGCTCTTCCTCCACAGCCTCCTGGCCTTGGCACCTGGTTTTCTCTCTGCTCAGATGTCTTTCCCTTTTCTCATTCTCCAAGGCTCCTTTCAGATATATCCTCTGGGAAGCTCTCCCAGACTCCTTATGAACAGAAAGCACTCCTCCTTCCTCCACATTAGCATAGTATTTATTCTGCTGGGACACAGCATAACCAATGACACTAAAGCTGTCGGCTTACCTGTCTGCTCTCCACTCCCACCCTGACCAACACAGTGTACCAGTACTGTCTGTGTATCCTTAGAACCTAGCACACTCCTCTGTTAGCCTTTGATAAATGAAAGCAACTTCTTTCGGGTGCCATGTTAATCTTCCACTCCCAGAGTCTCGCATGCCTTCACTCTCTTCATTTTTTCTGCAAGCCTCTCTTGTCTCCTGTCTGTAAGCCCCTAGTGGTGCTGTGAGGGGTGGGGACCTTGCCCCTACAGTGTTCCCAGCCTGGTTGATGAGATAAGCCATGTCCCAGCAAAATGGGGCAATAAAGGTAAGATTGGCCTCCCAGTGATACACTCATGAATTTCACTGGGTTCAGAGGGAGGGGCCCACCCCACTGGGGTGGGGAGCAGGGGCCTTCTGTGTACCCCACCTGGATAAGTCGTAGAAACTTCCTAGATGCCACCGTTCTCACTGAACTGAATTTCCAATTTCTGTCAGCTTTCAAATCGTGTTTATTTTAATCGAAACAGTAACTGGATTTTCAGGGAAAGCTCATTTCTCAGAAAAAGAATAAACAGTTGTCAAGCTTTATAGAACTCATTTTACATGTACCAAATATTTCATAAGAAATTAAATTTTACAGGAAACATCACAGACCTACCCTCATCTTCCCTGTTCTCCTTACCAGCTTCTCCCCCTCTCGCCCCCACAAACCCCTCCCACACTCGTCTGGCACTTAAAAATACACCCATATCCGCAGACAGACACCCGAGCAGGCACAGTCTGAAGCTGCTCAGAACGTCAGGATTACCCAGAATAATCGCTGGAGATAAATCACATTTTTCCCCTTGAAATTTGCTGTGAGTCCTAATTCATTGCATTGTGTGTGTGTGATACTTTCTGGTCAAGTAAAAGCAGAAGCAGACTCTAGAAGGAACCTTGCTCAAGGGGAAACTTGCACATGCCATTTGCCTTAAAAAAATAAAAATAAAAAAGTAAACCAAAGAGTCTTGTCTAGATAAATCATAAAAACATGCTCAAGAAAAGGAACAATCCCCAAAACATAACACAAAGAAGATACAATGATACACTTGATCCTGACTCCCCTCCACATTTTCTGTTCTTCTGCTCGCATACCTCCGGTCACAAGGGACTCATTTCCTGCCCAGGCAGTGCCTGCCACAGTTGCATAGATACTTGTAGGGAGATCTTCCTTCATACTGCAAGGAAATCAGCCTCTCTTCTCATTTGCAGGGCACTTACATCAGTGTAGGAAGTTGTCTAAAGTGGGTTTTTCGACAATGGATAAGGTCCAGTTTATTTGGCTGGAAAAAAAAATATTGTTACATATAATCATAGTTTTCAAATGTGGGATTGTCACCAAAATGATGGTCGTTAAGAATTTATCAAACAGGTTATTGTACGTTGCGTTTCCATGATAAAAATATTCCTTAATTTATTTTCCTCAAATTAAGATGAGCAGCTAACTCTGAGATCTTCAGCTCATGATGGAATAGGCGAGGAGGAGCCTGTTTTCACAGCTACAGCATGCCTCTGGAAAGGATGCTGAAGAACTTGCTGGAGATGGAACTCTGGGAAATTCCTTCCTGCTTTTTGCACTGCAGATTCCGCCACCCAGTTCTTCATCACATGTCTAGGATTTACAGTGATCATTCTTTTCCTTCTTTTACAATCCAAATCATTCTTTGTCTTCTTCGGACTCAAAAGATGTCAGGACATCCAGGTAGAAAAGAGTTTGTGTTTTGACATTTTTTTCAGTGCTTAGAATTGCTGAGGAATGGTAAGCTAGTAACTAACAGGCTTTAAGTAATCTCACCAAGCTACCAAAATGTCATTGTTTGCATTGCAAAACCAGCTTCTTTCTTTTCCATGAGATGTAAGAGCAATGCAGATAAATCATCATCATCTTCCCATTCTCCAGGTAATCCCAACTTGGCTTTGAGCAATCTCTAAATCTTGTGTAATAAAGAACAGAGAGTCCTTATTACTTCAGAACCTGAGCCAGGAGCCGCTCTTAACTGGAATCTGGTAACGGGTTTAAAGCTTATAACAACTTGCTTCAATTAAACATTCCAGTACTGGCCTGATTTCCTATTTTTATATCTTCTTTCACCATCAGATAGGTTTAGTTCAAAATCTGGATTATAGGCCCCAATAAAACCAAATAAACTAGTCAGTTGTAATGATAACACAGTGAAGTTATTAGTATAACAAACACCATGAGCAAAACCAGTAGGCATCCACACTCAGTAAGTCGTGCAGTCTCAGAGACCACAACGGGAAAAGTATCCACGCATTTGTTAGCTTTTTGATGGTCCTGTATGATGAAGTCTAATGATATCCTTAGCAAATCTAGTTACCATAATGAGCCAAAATTTCTAATGAATTCCAAACCATGATTTTGCAACATGCAGCACTTTTTCCTGCTCCTGATTCCTTCACAGTGTTTCTGTTATATAACCGATTTCTCCATACTTCATCATCACAGCCAGGCTTGCAGCGGGGCTGGTTGAAATTCCAAGATGGTACTGGCCTCCCTACACAATTCTCTCACTGAGGAATGAAGTATAGCTCTACCATCACCATTTCAGAAGTATGGGTTCTTTGCTGACCGTTTTAATTGGGGCTCCCACTTTACACTCCAACTCTTCATGTAAATTCCATTAAGGTGAGCTCTTCCATCCCCAAGCCGATCTGCTGAAATTCCAAACTGGTAGCCACCAAATCTGTGAGCCAGTGGAGTGGGCCCAAATACCGTCTCTTCACACACAGTGTGTCTGTAGCCTGGTTTTTTTCTGTAATTCTCTCTTCAGGTGTGTCTCTTCTGTTATTCAGCTCTTCCATAGAGTTCTTCCTTTTGATAGTTATATATTTTTATTTCTAAGATCTCTAATTGATTCTTTGCCACAACCACTGTTCTTATTTCATAATAGTTTGTCCTTGTTTCATGGCTGTAATAGCTTCCCTTTTCTCCCCAAGAGTATGTATTGTGTGCTTAAAGTCCTGATTGGATTGTGTCCTCAACTGCACTTCCTCACACACATTTCACTGCTGACATCGTTGTCTCTCTTTCATCGTGCTGTCTTCCCTCAGGTGTGCGATGTTTCTTGCTTGTGTGTTTCCTTTTGAAATTGGAATCCCTCTTTGGTCTGTTTTTTGCAAGTGTTTTTTGGGCAGTAGCTACTTCTTGGATATCCAGGTTTGGGGAAGGGGATGGGAGGAGTAGGTTGTGCCATCAGGAAGGCACCTCGACAGCTGATCTTATGAGTATGGGGTTTCCCTGGACCTCCCAGTAAACAACTCTTATTGTTCTTTTACTAACGGTAGGAGTAGGAGATGAGGGGAGATGGGCAGGGCCTTGCCCCAGAAATTCAGCCTGTCTCCCGGTCAAAGCCACACCCTGCTCCTGGCTTCCACCACCACTTTGCCTGATACTTTCCTGCTCTGGTTTCTCTCCATGACTGAAGCCTCTGGCTTCAGCTTCCCATCTGTTTTTCCTTTGGCATTCTTCACTCTCCATCTTATTCAGGTTCAACATTTCTCTCCATCTTATTTTTGAGTGTGACTCTTTTGGAACTATCCACTCTGTCATTTCTGTGGAATTGGGACAGGGGGAAGGGCACAGGCTTAGATGACAGATATGTCATAATCAGGTGTTACGGCCTTCTGCGTGGCCGTGCAGTTGCTGGCTCCTTCTCTTGTGGGTGTTTTTGAGGTTTCTCCAGCGAGTCTCCAGCTGGGGGCCCCCAACTGTAGTTTCTTGATGTAGGACTATTTCCTGTGGCTTACCACTTCTGATGACCAGCCCCTGTTGGTCCTCCCCTCTGCTCAGAGCTCACAAATGGCTCCTTTCCATGGGATCCATATCTGACGCCTAGGGAACCTATACTGTGGCCCACATGCAAGGGTGGACATGCACCCTGTTTTCGTGCAATACACACACCCCCATTCTGGGGCCACTCCGGCCACCTTTCGGTCTTTAGATTTTTTCCAAAAAAAAAAGTCAGTCATCACTCCACATATCCAAAAGTCTAGTAAATACATATCAAGTTCTTGAAGCCCCTTCCTTTGGCATCAGGTTAGGAGAAGCATCCCTTTACATCCATCACGGGAGGGATGGGGAAGGGACTGCCTGGTACTAATAACCCTCCAAGGGAATTCTTCCTCTACAGTCTCTCCATGGTTGATTTTCAACTTCTCCTTTTTACTCTTGAGGTAGGTGATGAGCTAATGGTTGAAAAATGGGTTTCACAGCTTTCAGCATGATGCGCCTAGCAACTGACCACTATTGTCACGTACTCGGCTTTGAGATATCAGCCAAAACTGAGACAAAAAGAGTCCCATGTAGATATCCTGTTACTTAAGAATTCATAATTCTACATTTTATTACGAACATACCTTATTAGATATATATTAATTTACCTGTCTTTGTTTGTTTGTTTGTTTTTCAGGGAGCGAGAGGGCCTAATGGCTCAGTGGGTGAAAAGGTAAAAGAAAAAAAAAATAGCTTTTTCTTCCTTCCTCCCCTTTCTCTGGATTTACTATAATTGAACTGTTGGGCTGGAATGTTGAATGTATAAATGTCATGGAGCAGAAAGAACTACATCCCAAAGGAACTGCTCAGGGAAGGCAGAACAGCTGGAGACGGAGGGGAGCGGATAACCTGCCATGTTTTCTCCTTCCTCACCCCTCCACACAAATGTGCTCAAATGAGTGCCTCGGCTTATCTCCATGTGCAACGTCAATTAGCCAGACAACTGTTCCTGTACCACGGAGCAGTACAAATCAGAGAATTCACCAACCTAATTAAGCTCAAAGAATGATTTTCTGACTCAGGTGTCGTTCCTTCCGTGAGTGAATCCAGGGCTGGGTAGTCAGCCTGTTCTCTTCCCTACAGGGTGACCCCGGCAACAGAGGCTCACCAGGACCCCCAGGGAAAAATGGACAAGTTGGCACTCCTGGGATCATGGGACCCCCAGGGCCTCCCGGACCCCCTGGGCCTCCGGGTCCTGGGTGCACAATGGGACTTGGATTTGAGGTACTTTTCGCCCTTTCTGTGGCTAAAGAACAATGTGTCCAAAAGGCTCTGGAAAGATCAGCGAACTGAACGCCAGTTCGAGGGCAGAGGCTGTGCCGTTTCCCAGCAAGCCCCGATTCCCAAAACCACACCTGGTGCAGATAGATGTGCTCAGGAATTAGATTTAAAGTTTTCATTCTTCTTCCTTCCCTAGGATACCGAAGGCTCTGGAAGCATCAGGCTACTGCACGAACCCAGAATCTCTGGACCAATGGCTTCAAATGTAGGTTGACTTGTGAAACCTTCATTTTGTGGGGTGCTACCCCGGCTCTGCTACCTGCAATAATTCACCTTCTCTGTGCCACCAGCTCCCAGTCATGCAATGGGGAGACTAGATGCTCTTCACAGCATGTTTCTTTGAAGAACAGCACAGAAAATTTGCAAAAACAGCATGTGGGAAAACTAGAAAATCACTTTTTTCTCTCTCTCTGTCCAGTCCCTTACCATCTAGCACCTCTCCTTCATTGCTCCCTTGCTGCTCCATTCAATCCTGAAACTTTGACCCTTTTCAAAACCCCATGCTCCTGACTGGTGCCCCTCCTTGCTGCACCTAGCCCCCGAAGAAGAGGTGTTATCCATCTTCTGCTATGATACTTGCTCTCCAGAGGACCAGTCTCTAGGATCTCATTATCTTTGTCAAGTGGGACCCAGAACTGAGCACTCAATCCAGGAGGCGCAGAGCCTTGCAGACAGGCTCATAGGCTTCCGTGATTGACTAGAAGACCTTCCCATGCCCCTCGTGCAGAGGGCTCTGAGATTCAAGGTCAAGAGGACACTTACCCTGTGCTGGGTGGGAGAGGGCCTCTGATCTCATTGTTCTCTGTGGAATATTCCTTCTGACTTCGGAAGGGAAATTTGCTCTTCGTCTTTTGCTCTTATTGTCTGGGAGAAAATCCATGCAAGAATGTATGAAGAGATGACAAGATCTAAAGATAGATAGAGAGTGAGCAAAATGAATAGAAAGAAAACAGAGGATACTTACTTGTTTCTTTGTTTTGCCAGGGTCCCAAAGGAGAAAAAGGAGACCCAGGACCCAAGGTGAGGTCACAGAACAGAGCTGGGTTGGGAAGACTGTCCAGCCTGATTCTGGGAGCGTTGTCCATGTGCAATGAATTGTTTTTCCACTCTCGCTCCTAAATCCAGGGTGACAGAGGGATGGATGGAGCCAGCATTGTGGGACCCCCTGGGCCCAGGGGGCCACCAGGGCACCTCAAGGTCTTGTCTAATGTGAGTATTATCCAGGTCAGAATGTGGCTATGCATTTTCTGCCTTTGCTAAAGGGGAGAGAAAATTCTCCACAATTTCAGGGCCTTCGGGGCTGCTGGTTATACATGCAAGGGGCACAGAGCCGGCATCTGGCGTTTGAGGTTCTACCTGCCAGCATGCCCCACCTGTCTTTCTACCCCAGTACCACTGTTCTCTCACAGGGTGCTTCCAGAGCACTCTCCTCTGGGTGACAGCATTTGCAGTCAGGAGAATGGCTGTAACAGAGCTATAACAGAGAGGCAAAGGGACATAAGTCGGGGCACAAGGGAAGAAAGATGTTTTGGGATATGAGAAATCAAGGAAGACTTTCTGGAGGAAGTGTCTTTGAGCAGAGATTTGAAAGCTGAGAGGGATTTTACCAGGTAAGCATGGAGAACAGGACTTCCAGAATTCAGGTTGCAGGGACATTTTGAGCCAAAGCACAGATTGGAACAACATGGGTTTGTCCAAGGCACAGGGAGCGTGGGGGTAGGTGGAGAGTGATGTAAATGTGTAGAGAAGACCCAGATGTGAGCTGGGACCAGATCGTGGTCCACTTAATATTAGGACATCACACTGGCCCTTCTGAGAGAAATAATGTCATATGATAGATGATAGAAAGACAAAAAGTTCCAAATAACTAGAAAAAAGAGAAATAGAATATAAAAATGTATGTGTGTATATATATATAAGTGTGTGTATATATATGATTAAAATATATATATATGATTAAAAATATGAAGTGTGGATAAGGATGTGTTGAAATAGATAATCTCACATGCTTTGGTGGAAGTGTAAATTGTATAGCCCCTTTAGACAGCTCTTTGGCAATCTGTTAAAACTAAAAATGTCCATACCCAAAAATTCCACATGGAAAGATCTCTATGCCATAGGATTGAGTGAAAAGAAGCAAGGTAAAGAATAAGACATATAGACTGATGCCATTTATAGAAAATAACTACATGGACATACAGCATAGGGAATATAGTCAATAATAACTATGTACGGCATCAGAGGGGTACTAGACTTATCAGGGTGATCACTTTGTAAGTTATATAAATGTCTAATCACTATGTTGTATACCTAAAACTAATATAATATTGTATGTCAACTGTAATTGAAAAAGAAAAAAGTTTAAAAAACTAAAATTAACTGTATGGACAAACACACACTTACCAACAACACTACAAGCTTTCTATAGGTGTATGGATTTCGGCCTTTAAGTCCTGGTGACGACATCGTACATACTATTTAAAATTTTTAAAGAGAGAAGACATTCATGTATTGTGTAATTTTAAGATTAATTGAAAAAGGAAAGTGATAAGGCAACCCTGAGATGTTTTATAAGCAGTGGCAAGGATGGGTGTCTTGGCAATGGGTTCAGGGTGTTATCAGTGTCTGCCTGGGTTCTACCATGCTGGGTGACTTCATGTTCCTCACTGCCAGGAACATGGTAGAACACATTCCACCCTTGTCTTATTGTCTGATTTTCTTCTTTTTAGTCTTTGATCAACATCACCCATGGATTCATGAATCTCTCAGACATTCCTGAGCTCGCCGGGCCTCCGGTGTGTATCTACAGCTGCCCTAGATTGAGATTCCTTCCCAGATGCCCCTGTTGAAACTAAATTGGGTTGGTTTGGAACCGTTTTAGCTGCTGAAGCATAGAGCTAGACTATATCAAAGTAGAATGGAAAGAGAACTTTGCATTTCTGAGAAGTTGCTATCACATTAATTTGATCATGCAGGAAGTTTTATTCAATGCAGTGGAAGCTTCCAGTCCTGTGCATCAGAAATATATGTAATGGAAATCAGAGAATCACAAGCAGCAAACCAATTGACGTCTGTGCAACACTTTTAGCCCACTTTTATTTACCTGATCTCATTTCACAGAACGAGAAGAGCCTAGAGAGACCTGTCTTTGTGCTAATGGGGAAACAGGCGCATAAGGAGGGAACGTGACTTGCTTCGGTCTTTCTAGCCCCATTTTAGACATCAGGAACACACAAAGAAGCCACATTATTTCTGCAAGTCCACAGAGTCCGTCCTTGGCATAACAGGACCCAAGAGGAAGGAAGCTTCCTTTCACAGTCTGTGCAATAAATCCCCATTGCATCTTCCAGCACCTGCTGGTGACAGCTGGGGAAGGAGGGAAGAGTTACGGCCTTAGGAGCCTTGGGGTTCCGGCCCTGTCTCTGCTACACACCGCTGAGCCTCTGAGCCTCTTCTCTGATAACACCTCACCAGCCTTGGGGCAGCTTATAAGAGGTGATGGATGTGAAAATGCTTTGCAAACTGGCACTCTGTGTAAGCCGACATGGAGCCTCTGGCCTTCATAGCTGTGCAGTCCAGCTATCTGCTGTTGCTACTCACTCTTGCAGTCCCCAGTGAGGGTGGCCTGAACTCTCACAATTCACATCCTGGGGAAAATTCAGTGCCTTTCCCAAGCCTACAAATATCTGGGAGGTTCCTCTAGAGCTGGTTTCTCCTGCTCAGTCACCTCTGTTGGTGGGTCATTTTGCTGCCTCTTCTATATCGCATCCAATGGAGCTCCCTTTCCTTGATTTCTACTAAAATCATCCAAAGCGCCCCAATAATCAAACCCTAATATAAACCAGCTAACAAGCAAAAGTCATTTCAAAGAGGGCCTTGGATTTTCTAAAACTGTTGGACATTTGGGGTGTTAAGTGGGTTGATACTGAAGCAAAACACAGTCAGCTTAAAATCGAAGATTCGGCATCGCCGCTCAGAGTCCCTGGGCCGCGTCTGCCGCGTTGCCATACCACCACCCCGGAATCCTCCTTCCTCCTCAACCCCTGTCCTCCTCTTCGGCAAATCTAGACCCTCAAGGGGCCTCTTCATCCCTAATGGAGGATCAAGACTGTCCTACTCGGAGGCAGTTCCCTGTCTGAGAAGACTCAAGTCCCCGCAGCCACCCCACTAAATATACAGCATATTGAGAAACTTGTTGCCATCCAGTTATCTCTCTCTGTATATATATTCTGCCAAACTCATACATCTTTACTAGGTATGTGGGTATCTGGGCTGGTAGGAAGAAAAATCTTGGCTCCATGTGGAGTGAACCACAAACTCTCTGTTCCAGGACCTTTAAAATGCTGGTCCTTTAAAATTCATGCTCCTACTGAGGGAAAAAAAAAACTGAGTCTCACCAACATGGCCCCACTTCCACCCCCAAATACCCCAGCACACCCTTTGGCCCCATTCCTTGGAGTTTAGGAACTTGTTTTCTGAGACTATTTGTCAAGGTCAAGTGCTGCATTTATCGCACTCTCAGACACTTCAGAAGCAGAGAGATTTCCCGGAGGAGGAGGCTGCCACCCAGAATGCAGAGAGTTCTGGCTCTGGGGACAGGAGCTCTGGGTGCCTGTGCACAGTTTCTGGCTCTGTCACTCACCAGCTGCGTGACTCCACAGTTCCTTCCCCTACTGGGCCCCAGCATTATCTTCTGCAAAATGGATCGGGAGCCCCACTGTGTGGGAACATGCTTAAGTCTGTGGAAGGTGCTGGGAGGCAGCGGGCCCCTGAGGCTCTGGAAATGCTGCTCCTAAACCACCTGCTTTGTCTTTGTTGTGTCACAGGGCCCAGAGGGCATGCCTGGGCTGCCAGGATTTCCAGTAAGTACCACAGTAACCATCTTCCCTCTGTACCGTGGCTGTGCTCATTCTGTTCCTTCCACTGGGAACGCCCTTCTCCTCCATCTGCATGATAAAGCTGTAACACCCGTCTTGTTCCTGTAACCTTTCCTCATTGGCCCCCACCTGGAGTGACCCTATCTCTGTAGGGCTTTATTTTCACCTGTGCTGTTTGTTTGTTTGTCTTTTGTTTTTGCCTCGAATAACAGTTACTTGTGCCCTTGTCTTTTTTCCTTGACCGCACTGTGAACACCTTGTGGAGGGCTGGGTCTTGTTCCTCTCTTTCTCCCCCACGGTTAGCCAGTGGCTGGCTTCCTATGAAAACAATCACACATTTCAAGTAGATACAGTCCATAGTCCAAATAGATAATGTTTGTAAAGAAAGAGGATGGTAGCAGTGGAGACTGGAGAGAGGAGAATCACAGACTAGAAGTGCAATAATTAATAAATAGTCTGTGGGGACCGCACGATGGGGTTTCCAGCATGGAAACTGAAAGAGCATTTCTGTGTAGAAAAAAGCTCTAATGGCTAACTCACCCTTTAACTCAGAAGACGAGACAGGAACTTGTGAAAAGCTAAAGAGCAATAGTGTCGAAACGCCTTTGAGGGCCAGATGTCTGGCTATGTGAGTCATTGTCACATAGATATTTGGCATCTGTTGGAGTTAAGAAGAAGCCACCTCAGACTGGATGTGCAGAAATTGGCTTTGCAGAGGGGCGGATGGGCATATCTGCAGGGAGAACAGCACGGCCGGAAGTGCAGAGGCAGTGGGGAGTGCAGAGAGTGTCAAGGCAAAGGCTCGCCCCTGGGGGTGCGGTGAAGAGAGAAAGATGAGGTGCTTAGGCTGGCTGGGATGGGTTTGGGTGTCAGGCTAGAATGTTTGGATCCCATCCCATAGGTAATGGGGAGCCAGAGCAGGGGTGGGAGTCATGGAAGGTGAATGGTGGGTAGAGATGGGTTGCAGAATGGCCTAGAGGACCCACGAGGAGGCAGAGGCAGCAGGACCAGGCTGTTTCCGTAGTGCCCATAGGAGGAAAACAAAGTTCAAAAAGGCACGAGGCCTCCAGGCCTCCTAACACTCAGTGCTGTCTTCTCTCCACCAGACCACAATTTCCAGACCACTTAAAATCAGGAAAACATCACAACTACTTATGACTTACACCTACCAGGGGAACGGCACTTTCTGTTCTCCTATCGTTTGAAAAAAAATTACTTCTGTTTGATCAAAGCACTATAATCTTAATAAACACCAAAACTACTCTCCAATGATTCCTTCCAGGGCCCTAGAGGACCCAAAGGGGACACTGGTGTGCCTGGATTTCCAGGGCTAAAAGGAGAACAGGTAAGAGAGGCCCAGGTCTCTGGGTGGGGCAGGCTCCAAAATTTACTAAGTATTTCAAAGTGGCCAAAAGTAGCTGTTAACTTTTTAGAAATTTTGAGATATAATTCACATACCATAAAATCCACCACCCCCTTTAAATTACTGAATTCATTGAATTTTAGTATGTTCACAGGGGTGTGTAACCATCACCACGACCTAATTCCAGAACATTTTCATCTTACCCAGAAGAAACTCCTTATCTATTACAGTTACTCTTCAGCTGTTAACTTTTATAATTTCAAGGTTCCTCCAGGGTGAAGGTGGGTTTTGGGTAGAGAAATTGATTTTCATCATAGTTTCCAAAAAGGACTCAACCAATGCTCCCTTGAATGCTGTTATCACATGTGCCATGTTTGCTTAACTGCCTGTTGGGCACCCCCGAGAGAGTGTGCTCTCCCTAAGGGCAGACCTCAGCTGGTTCCTTTTTTGTAGCTCCAATACTTAGCACAGAGCACAGCACACAAATGGCACTCAAACGATCTGTTGGATCAAAGAATGTATAATTAAAGGCAGTTTTGGTCCGGAATCTTTGGAAAAAATATATTTAGTATGCAGAGCACATCCTGGGAACTCCTAGGGCACTGAACTGACCTTTTTATCCTCCACATGTGCTGTTAGAATTAACTTCCCAGTTGGGATTTATAGATAAGTGACATCTATAAACAGACCGCAAAGACTCTGGATTGGATGCATTTATTCATCCATCCATTTATGGACGGATTATATCTTATATCCATTCCCTAAGGCATGCCAGCCAGATTCCTGTACTAGGCACTAGGGATATAGAAATAAGATAAGTGCAACAGATATGCAAAGAGCCAATAGAGAGAGTGGTCATTGCTGTAGTGGGAGCAACCCCTGTGACTGCCTTGGGGAGTCAAGGAGGGTGGGGTGTCTCTAAGAGGAGGGAGCGTTAGGGAGTGTTAAGCCCCCACCATTCCACACTAGCCCCAGGAACAAGGAGAGAGGCTCCAGTATCTACTGAACCACAGTTCCAGGGTGTGGACGGTTGAGTGTGCTGGGCAAAGGGGTCTAAGTATGGTGCCACATAGGGTGATGTCTTGGGATGCTTTTCGCTGCCAGAATGGGGACAGAATGGGATGCGGACAGGGCAATTCTAGCTTGGGAGGGGTCCTGGTCAAGCAGGAGCGGCTCTTGCTTTAAACACTCTGTTTCCTCTCTGGCGAGGTCAGATGGATTTAGAGGGACCTACGTGCCATCACCACCTTAATCCTTTGCCACCTTGAAAACTGGGATGGACGCCCAGGCAGCTCTGCTTTGGCCCTCACAGCAAACGTGCTTTCTCTCACTCTGCCTCTAATGCTTTTGTGCTTGCTTCTTTTTGCTGCTGGCCTGCTCAGGACTGCTTTTCCTCATCAGCTGAGTGGTAAGATCCTAATATCAGGGGTGGGCTTAGGGGGACGGAGAGAAGAGGCTGCTCTGCTCCTTTTGGCAACACTGCTCTGGCTGCATCCAGCCTGTTACGGGGGAAAATGTGATCCAGCTCAGTTACCCAGGATTGAAGTTTGGGGCCAAAGCCTTAGAGTGATATAGGAGATTCTTCTACCCAGCCTTTTCTCTGAACTCATATCTTCTTGGAAGCTGCCTAAGATAGTAGGTGGCTCTGCTGATGACAGGATTTGGGGTAGGATCCTGTGTCCCTGCCATTAGTCTACCCATCTCCCCCATTTCCCAACCACTGAGAAACTGCCTGGTCAACTTTACACAGGATCCTAAAGTTTGGAGGGATGGCACGTGGAGGGAATAGCCCAGAGAACATTCAGTCACTTAGAAGGCTGTCACAGTACGCTAGGGAGAGGCCGTGTCGGCATAGTGGGGTTGGAGGGACAGGGTGAAGACTACAGGACTTGGCGAGCCTCTGGATAAGATGGTGAGGAGGATGCTTGACTTCACTGAAAGGTTCTCTGAATTGCAGGGCGAGAAGGGAGAGCCTGGTGCCATCCTGACAGGGGACATTCCCCTGGAAAGGCTGAGGGGAGAAAAGGTAATTATGTCACCAGACCCCAAAGGCACACATCTGCTTCAGCATCCCATCTTCGTCTCTACCCCAAACAGTGTTCTTCTGAGTGACAAGTCTGTATCTCCCTGTTTTAGGGTGAACCTGGAGTGCATGGAACCCCGGGACCAATGGTAAGTCAGAGCATCTCTTGGCTGGGTATGGACTGGGGTTTGAAAAAATTTATCAAACTTTAGCTCAGTTAGATTTAGCTTCCCCAGTTGTGAAAATAAAAAGGATGTGGCAAAGTGCGTGCGTGTGTGTGTGTGTGTGTGTGTGTGTGTGTGTATGTGAGGGTAGGCTAACTGCAATTCAATAAAATCTTCAGTTAGCTTCCCCAGTTGTGAAAATAAAAAGGATGTGGCAAAGTGCGTGCGTGTGTGTGTGTGTGTGTGTGTGTGTGTGTGTATGTTAGGGTAGGCTAACTGCAATTCAATAAAAATCTTCAGCACTATGCTGAAGTGCTCAGCAGCATAGTGCTCACTCTTGCATGCAAAGTCCACTATGGTTTTTCCTAGTTGGGCATCTTCCCTCCAAGCAGTGACTCAGGGACCCAGGATGCTTGCAACCTGTGGCTCTGCCATCTTGTGGATTCAGGGCCACACTGGCATCTTCTAGCTGGTAGAACATATTGGGGAGGTGGAAGAGACCATGGAAGATGATGAACATCACTTCTAACACATCCTAGTAGCCAGAACTCAGATGCCTTGGCAGGGGAGGGCTCAGAAACGTGGTTTAGTTGTGTGTTCGGGAAGGAAAGGAGAGCAGGATGAGCACTCATGGTTATACCACAGATCTTGCCAGCTAAAGGTCGCCACTGCCCAGGGAACCCCTCAAAGGAACCCCAGAAAGTCTCTTTGGGCTTTTTGGATTCTGGTAGTGGGTCCACTGCTCATTTGCCGTGAGGCCTCTTCTCTTTCTGGGCTTCCGTTCTCCCATCTGTAAGTGAGGGCATTGAGTTAGTACTAGATGACGTGATAGCACCCTTCTTGCTTTACTTCTCTAGGAATCTATAACCCATTTGGACCGCTGAACAGTTTTTAAGCTACTAGTTCTCCCCAGGATGAACCCTAAACTTCCCTGTCATCTATTTCACCCAAAAGAACTAAGGAAATTCAGTTGTAGATGTTCTACAACTGATATCTCACTCAGAGCATCTCATTTCATCCTCACCACCCTAAGAGTGAATATCTGAATCTCCATTTTCTGGACTGAGAAACTGACATCAAAGAGGTTGAGTAACTCGCTCACTGTCACAAAGCTTTTAAGTGTGGCACAAAAGGGATTCGAACCTAGCAGGTTAGATTCTGCATCCAGGTTTTCCCCACTACTACCCCACTACCTCCAATAAACACCTTCATTCTTCTGAAACATTTTGGGCTGGAAAATTGCCTGTAGGTTTTGTTTGGTTGAAGCAGGATCTTGGGCTTGGGCAGAAAGGACCTCACATTGTTGTAACAGACATGTGTCCTCGAAGGTGCATCCTTCACAGGACCTTCTGAGGCTTTCGGTCCCTTGAGTCAGGCAGAAAGCATGTCCTGGAGATGGGTAGCTGAGGACTAAGGCAGACCAGGAGAGTCTTGTGTTAACTACTGGTTAACTACTTACTAACATCCAGTACTGTGGGAAACACCAGTAGTTAGCAGAGGCCACAGTCTGCTGCAGATAGCCGTGCTGGTTGTTCCCACTGCAGCCCAGTCTGTGCATAAAGGTGCCACGTGGGCCAGCTATGGCCCTTGTGACTAGTGTAGCTTATAATTCCTTTGCAAATTCACTAGAGCCTTGTCACTCATGGCCCATGGGTCAGCGTCACCCACATCAGCTGGGAGCTTGTTAGAAACGCAGAGGCTTAGGTCCCACCCAGGACCTACTGGAGCTGAATTTTGATAAGATCCCAGGTAACACCTATGGATATTGATGTTTTAGAAGCACTGCACTAGAACATATCATCAAGTGTCCTATGTCCTGTTAACTCCTCCTCTCCTGGCTTTTCTTTCTCTAAGAGTAATGTGGTCTGGGTGCTTTACATACAGAGCCTGTTTCCATTCAGTCTTTATTTGCCATTTTCCAGGGCATGGCTATCTATGTTAATGGCAGCAAGAAGAAGGGACTTGGAGGGTCCCAGGCTTAAGCCAGTCATTCCCCTGGACGACAGGGAGACCAACTACAGGAGTGGGAAGGTGCAGACGAGGTAGAGCCTGTTCTGGGGAGAGGTAGTGCATGGTACGCATCCTGGATGCCAAAAGGTATAAGGGTTCCTGCAGGATGCTGGAACAGAGCAGTGGCTCCAGAAGCATGTGGATGTAGAAAGCCAGCCCTGGAGTGAATAGGGTGCAGGGGCCAGGGACTTATTTGGAGAACCGAGGTGCCAGGCCAAGACTCTGGTCCTCAGGGACAGGTAGGAGCAAGGCAGAAACGAAATCCTAGAGCAGGTTATCAGGTCAGGCTGGCATGTGGGGCGAGGCAGGGCTGCATTATTCCAATGGGGGGCATGGAGAGTCCTGGGACATAAGACCTAGGGCAAAGGTCCGTGTTCTAAACTGGCCCAGCATCCAGCTACCTGGGTTCCTTTGTTAACCCTAACTGACTGGGAGAGTTGGGGGCAGAGTCTGGAATGGGGTAGAGGCTGCAGGAGGGTGTGGGGTGGGACAGGGTTGAGCAAGTGGTTCCAGCTGAGCAGAGAGAGACCGGAAGACAAGGACCCAGGCAGGTGACTACTTCATAGCTGCTCCCTGCCCTCCTTCCTCCTGTCAATGGTTCATCGTCACCCTTGCTCATGAAGACAGGTGGGGTGTCCCCATCTCCCTGGCCCTTGAGTTTCTGTTCTTTTATGATCTGGTATTTGTTTTGCCTCTAGGGGCCCAAAGGACCACCGGGACACAAAGGAGAATTTGGCCTCCCCGGACGACCTGTAGGTGTCGGTGTTCCAGAGACTGGATGTGAGAAAGGACACTTGGGCCAGGCTGGCCGGTGGACAGTGGGTTTACTAAGGCGTCTTCTGTGGGTTTCAGGGTCGCCCAGGACTGAATGGCCTCAAGGGCACCAAAGGAGATCGAGGAATCATGATGCCAGTGAGTGACACAACCCCTGCTCCAATCTCACACCACCCTGGGGACGGAACCCCAAGGCCAGTGCCCAGAGGAGGGGTGAGAGAGTGCCGGGTCCAGTGAGCAATGCTTATGGACAGAATGTTCAGGAATGTTTTTCTTCTTTCTGCCCTGACATTTCCAAATGTCCTCCAGCCCAGCTCACTCTCAGGAGGGTTCCTGCCACCAAAAGCACCTTAGCAGAGAATCAGCTTCCTCATCCAGACCCCAGAGGGAGGGTGGAGGCAGCGCGTACTCAGAAGGTCTGGTTTCAAATCCCAGGTCTGACTCTCCATTACACAGTGACAGCCCGTCTTCCCTTACACAGTCCGAGGGATTTTGCACATCACCAGGGGCCAGTAAATGCTTGTGAGTGAACAGTGAAGGTGGACCAGCTACTCAGGCAGAGCCTCACAAAATGGCAGACACTGGGAACATCAGCAGGGTCCAGGGTCTAGAATAAGGAAGCCAACATTTATTGAGCACCCACTGTGTACCAGACACTGTACCAAGTGCTTTTAAGCACAGTATCTCAATCTTGGTAATAACTGTCCTGGGAGATACTCTGTGGGGTCCTCGTTTTACATAAGAGGAAACTGGGGCCTATAGAAGTTAACAGACTCACGAAGGTCACCAAGGTAAGATGCAAAGCAGCTCTAAGTCTGTTGTTGCTTCTGTTTGCACCACACTCTCTCTGCTTCGTGTGTCCAGAAATCCAGAAAAACAATTTTACTGAAGCACTGAAGGATTGACTCACACTTACCATGCCCACTGAGGCTACTAGGTAAAGCAGACACTGATGCCTTCACTTGGAGTGATCAGAGCAGCTTCTGAATGAGCTAGACTCTTCATCCCTGTGGTCAGAGCCTCACCCCTCCTGCCACAAGGTCATGCTTGGGATCCCTCCATTCTTAGAGAAGCAAACGTTGCATGATATTAAGGCCAGGCTGACCTGGCTTTGAAAATGGCTTTGCTATCAAGCAAGGTTTTGCATTTGTTTTTGCATTTATGAGGCACTCTCCCAGGTACCATACCACATGTAGGACCCCCACCCCTTTGGCCCCTCCATACTAGGGATGCACTGATAGAGAGGTGGTGGACTCCGTATTGGCTGAGCGCTGCTCTGGGAGTCATAATCTGATTTCCAATCTCAGTTCTGCCATAAATCGCTAGTGGCCTTGAGCAGATCATTTCCCCTCTCTGGGCTTCATTATCTCCATTTGTAAACCAGAGACAATACTTGTTGCTCTGCTGCCTCCCTCATGGGTCATTGTGAAGATGCAATGAGGTCACGGATATAGATGTCTGCTGTAGAAGGGACCAGCCTACCTATGGGAGAAGTAGTAGGCTTTAGAGGAAACTCTTTTCCTCGTGTGTCCCCCAAACCCAGGGAAAGTATCTTGCACTCACAACCTGAACTCAGGAATGGCCTTTTTTTCTCCCTTCAGGGCCCACCTGGCTTACCTGGTCCTCCAGGCCCCCCTGGACCACCTGGAGCTGTGGTTAACATCAAAGGAGTAAGATGGGGGTGGGGTCAGGGGAGAGACCTTCCCTGGGGAGTGGGGAGTGGGCACCAGACTGGCCTAAACTGGGGTCAGGTGTCCTCATGGTCTCACTTCTCTTGTTCTCACTTCCCACAGGCTGTCTTTCCAATACCAGCCCGGCCACACTGCAAAACACCAGTAAGTAGCATACAGTCACTGCCACAAAGAGCAGGCTTTGGCATAGAACAGCTCAGAGAAGACAATCGTGTTTTTCCTGAGCCCCTTCTATCCATCACTGTCCTCTTAGATGTCTTCTATCACCTGCACATAGACCCTTAAGTGACTAGAAGCTTCTAGATAACAGACTACAGCAATGGAACATACTAGATCTTTAAAGGGTGCACACCCTGACAGTGTTTAATGCAATCAAAAAAGCATGTCTTTTGTTATCGCAACCATATCAGCTTCGTGTTTGTTTGGAGCAGTATAATACGGGAAAATAGACTCCGGTACTCTTTGCATTGGGAACTTAGGGCTAAAATCTATAACCAACTGTGTACTAGCCTTTCCCAATTGTCATATTACTGCACAGTACACAACGCTGAGAGGCAGGATTCTCTCTCCATTTTTATAATGAAGTGGCAAACTGTGACTCAGACAAGCTCACTGACTTGTCCAAGGTCACAAGATTTGTGAAGCTGGGACCGTCAATCAGGTCCCCTGAACACCAGTAAGGAGGTATGGGCACTGTGACCCCACAGTATTAGGCATGTGCTTGGTTACCCAGCTGGTCAGTGGCCCTGTCCCTGAGGTCTCACCCATATCAGGAGCCTGGTTCTGTGGGGAAACCCAGGAAGGGTGGGCCTCTCCCTGCGCACAGGCATTAGTCATGGCACTGTGTGTAATCATCCTCTCATTCATTCGACAAATATTAACTGAGTACTTACTGAATGCCAAGTATTTCTCTAGGCCCTGGAGAAACTAGGATGAACTAGATAGGCATGCCCGCTGTTCTCAGGAGCTTGCAGATTACAACTGAGAAACACTTTTTGAAGTGGGTTCATAGTTGATGCCTGTTGGGGGTAGTGATGAGGCGTGACGTGGGTCAGAGGCTCTAATATGACTCAGTTCAACTGAGTGTTTGCCCAGACATCTGTCCATGTTTAAACTTTGAGGCAGTATAGGGCTGTCAAGCTCTGGAGAAGACAGAGGACAGGACCCACCTGTGTAAGGTGAGCAGAGGGCTTGCTGGCTTCCAGGTCTACCTGAGGACAACAGCAACCCAAGTCGTGTTTACATCAATGCCCTGAAGGAAAACATAAAATATCAGTGCTGGAGGGACCTTCTGGAGAAAAGGCTGCATCCCAACTCCTATCATGCAGAAGGGGAAACTGCAGCCCAGAGAGACACAGGCCCACCCCGGCACCTACCATGAGTTGGTGCCCAAAGGGCCTCCCAGATAACATGATTTTAGGCTTCAAATAGACCAACCTTGGGACAGTGCTTGACAAACGAGAATGTTGTAAAAAAAAATGCTACTGCAATTACCATGACCTGTACTAGGACTGTGTGTAGTAGCCATGGCCTTTGGGGGTCACGAAGTTACTTCAAAGAAGCCGAAGATGAGCTCAGAGCATTTTTCGTGAGTTTTTTAAGTTTATGCTGCTGGACATCGTGGGGTCCAGACCATGGACATTTCTTGACCAGGTCTCAAAATGGACACTTGAAAAAGAAATGCTTCTTTCGTATCCAGCATTTCGCAAGCTCCTTCAAATTTCAGTCCCTTTCCAATCATCACAATTTACTTACTGCTCGTGCCTGGAGTGCAGGAACTTTATCAGCCAGGCTGTAAGATGTCAGCTTGGTGCTGCTGCCTTCATCCTTCACCTAGAAATGTTTTTCCTGGAAAATTTCCATCCCTTCTCCCATCTTCTCTCGTTGACCCCTGAGCAGCTCGTGACTCTCGACCCAAAAGAATAGGAGGATCCTGGCCCCAGAGGGATCATTTTGATCCTACATATCAACTAGGAAAAAAGATGAAAGCAGGCTATTGAAAGCAGGGTTGCAGGTAGCTCTGTTTTAACAGGTAAGGAAACATAAGAATCTGGGAACAAACTGGGAAGGAATATTATCTAGAACAGCTCAGACTCTTAATGGGGAGCCCAGAATAGCCCCCTCAACCTAATGATATCCCTCCTTTATTAATTACTACCACCATCAGCTCCTGTTGATTATGCTCATCCTTGATTATACATAGTAGCGAAGCTAATGGCAGCTCAGCTTCATGGCTGGGTATATCACTCACTCAGATGCTTGACCTCTCATATGAATCAATCTTAATTAATAAGAAAGGGGGCCAAGATTGCTCTTGGCTGACTAAACCACACTGCCACAATTTCTTGTCTTAAAGCTTTGGGCTTCTCCTTTGCAGAGTTGTTTGGCCAGGAGGTTTCACCTCAGCCCAGCTACATGCTGGGCCTCCAGTTGAAGACCTGGGACCCTTGTGCATTGAGGGCTGCTGGGGAGCTCGGAGCTTTGGGGGGCTCCAGAGCCAAAGGAAAGCCTGACTCCATGACATTGCTTCTCCTATCACACATCCCAGGACAGGGGACAGTGGCTAACTGAGCATGCAAACACCAGGACAGGGTTTGCAATGTCTGACCTTGCCTTTCTCTCTCTCCAGGTTGGTACCACTCATCCTGGGAACTCAGAACTCATCACCTTTCATGGTACACATTCCCTCCTTTCCCTGATGTTTCTCTGGGACATTTCCAGACTCTCGTATCTCTGCGGAAGGTGGTTTCCATTTGCCCGGTGCTGGGCATGGACTAAGTGGTCAGGAAGACCTGGATACATGTGGTGGGAGTGGGGTGGCTGAGCCAAGGCTGCGGGACTGGGCACCTCTGTTAGGTTTTGTTACCCATGTGTCTATTCTGCACATCTTGCTGAGCCTCCTACTTAGAAAGCATTCCATTTGTCCATTTTTTTGTTAGTTTGCTAATAAACATCCACTGATACCTTCTCCTTGCATGACGCTGTCCCAGGCACTGGACTAAGACAGATGAGTCCCCACCATTCCTGCCACCTAGGCCCTTAAACTCTGTTAGGTGAAACTATTTTAAAAATCACTAGAATGCAATATACCAAGAGCTAGTACAGAGCAGGGCCATGGAAGTTCAGGAGACCTTTGTTGCAAAGCATTCTTGGACCAGCAGCATCTTCATCTCCTGGAAACTTGTTAGAAATGCAGAATCTCAGGTCCCACAGCAGACTTGCTGAATCAGAAGCTGCATTTTAGCAAGCTCTCCACTGAAGTGGATGCACAGTTAAGAATGGGAAACACTGGCTCTGAGCATTCGATTAGTAAACTCTGTTCAAGGCCTATAGGAGCTTATCTGCCACACATCAGAGAATGGGAAAGGCCAGGACACGGGAGCCTGCAGGCGAGCACTCACTCTGGTCCCCTGTCCCCGTGTACCCTATCACACCATTGTCCCCTTTTCGATTGAGAAGTCTGAAAACTTGAAGTTTAAACAGAAGAAGGCTTTTCCCCCCTATTTCTAATACTGACTTCTGGTTTGGCTCTGTCACCCCTGGCAGACCCTGGTGGCCTCTGATTTTTCTGTCATTTTTGGTTACAAAGTCCAGGCTGTTTTCATCCTCCAAGCTCAGATCCAGTTCAAGGCTTTCCCTTCCTCCTGCTGCAAGGTGGACCCTGGGGAGGAGGGGCTGGTCTGGATTTGCTTTCTCAGATCCCCAAGTGGTTCCGCTTCCCCACAGGGTTCCTCTGGTAGGAGGGGGAGGGAACCTTTCTGGATGCAGCCCCGGGTGAGCCCATTGTTCTCCCCCTTACTTGTGGGTTTACTCCTGCTCCCTGGGGTGAGCAGCCATGTGGGCAGTGGTAAGCTCGCTGTCCTCTGTTCTTGGCATCACCGCTATCCTGGGCTCATTGTGGGCCAGTAGAGGACCCGCAGGCTCTGCTCTCCAGGTCCTGGCTTCAGCAGCTCCCCTCCCCTCCCCACATCAGTGAGGCCCTGCCAAGTGTGATTGCATCCCCCACTGACCCCCTCAGCTGGCAGCATCATGCTTCTGATACATTTCTTCCCCTATGTTGGGAAGCCTGAGCCCCAAATCTATGCCGTGTATCCCCATTTCTAGGCTCAAGAGCATTGATCGGTTTATCTATCACACCTCTTAGGAACCAGGAATTCAAAGATCTAGCATCCACCCACTCATCAGGGTGGGGAAAGGGGATCACTTCTCTTCCTAAATGCTGAACTCTTGGAAGGCTCCCTCCATGCCCGTCTGCCTTATACAGATTTGAGGGAGAAAAGGATGGCTGTGACACCAGTTTTGCAGAAAGGGTGCTTCTCACAAGCACCGTGGGGAGTGGGGCGCTGCATAATTGGCATTCTTCCAGCTTCTCAGTGGAATGCTTATCACTCTTTGTTGTCCTCGTGGGCACTCCTGAGAGAGCCTCTCCTCCCCTTACACCACCGTGCTGTACGGGCCTAGATGAGATGGGACTAGAAGCTTGACTTGGCATGGACCCTCAGGCATGTGCATGAAGCTGTCAGAGAGAGTTAACGGTAGGCCTCTGCTGGGCTCCCATGATGCACTGCTAGCATCTTAATGATGGCACTTATTCCATCCTGTGTCCCGTTACCCTTCACTGTGTCTGTCTCCCCAAGGACACCGAGCTTCTCAAGGTTAGAAATATGTCTGCCGCACCTACCTCTGTCTTCCTCATCATTTAGCAGAGGATTTTATACCCTCAATTGGCCTTTGTTTGTTGAATGGACTTTGCTAGAGGGGCTCAATTTAAAAAACTTGTCTCAAAATGGTTTTATATAGAACGAAGGTGATTTTCTACTTTTTTTTTTTTTTTAATGTGTGTGTATTTGATGGCAGGTGTTAAAGGAGAAAAAGGATCCTGGGGTCTTCCCGGCTCAAAAGGAGAAAAAGGCGACCAGGGGGCTCAGGGACCGCCAGGTATTCCAACTCTCGTGCTAGATCTTGCCTTTGATTTTTGTTCCTGAAGAATCCGACTTAGCCGGAAAGTAAGACTAATTACATAACCACCCTGACCGCAAGCTTCACAGAGCTCTAGAGACACCAGTCATAGGTGATGCATGTACAGGATGGAACATTGTCAAGAGAGGTCAGAAGTTCCAATTATTCATGCTTCATATGCAAAAAGAGGCCCAAAGAGGGCCGGGGATGTGCCCAGGCTCCCAGTGTCTGGGCTGGGGATCCAGACCAGGACCGGTTTCTGTCTCCAAGCCCAGTACACGCTTTGTTAGTTAAACCAATGGGGGGGTCACTTCCACTAGGAAATAACCATGGTTGCCAATTTGGAGACTCTTATTTGTCCATTTATAAGGTATGATTGTGAATTTTACAAAGCTTTTTTTTTTTTTTCAGGGCCTCCAGTGGATCCAGCATACCTGAGACATTTTCTGAACAGCTTGAAGGTATTTCTCTGCCAAAACTGGGCCTGCGTTTCCAAGTTCTTGGGCTTATGTCAGTGACTGGTTCACCCTACTCTTACTAAATGTTCTCTGAATGTTCTCTGCTTCCAGGGGGAGAATGGAGACAGGGGGTTCAAAGGAGAAAAAGGAGACTCTATCGTCGACTTCTCTATGTCGGGGCCTCCAGGCCTGCCAGGAAGTCCAGGCTTGGTTGTGAGTAGTGACCCTCCATACTTCTTCCTCATTGAGCCACCACTTTCCCTGAAGTCCCCAGTGTGACTAGGAGAGTCAAGAGTCAGTCACAGCACCACAAGCTGAGGCAGGACTTGAGTATCGGCCTCTCTCCCCCATCCTTGTTTACTGATGGAGAGCTTGGCTGAAGCCCATGGAGAAAAGGGAGCTGGCTGAGGCCATATGTGTCCAGGTAACTTTCAGGTCACTAAATGCTGCTTTATTCATGTCAATGAATAAAGTGAAAAATTCATGTCAGTGAAAAATTCACTCATCAAAAAGAGTTATTAATGGTGAACACATCAGGTAATAGAAACAGAATGGAAGGTGAGGGAGATATTTTCAGAGTGGCTATTTGATTTTTTTGAAATTTAATCAAAGAAGTAGCTCCTAGATAGGCTTGGTCTTCTTAGGTTGACAAGTTTCTCCAGGGCACAGAGGAGAAAATCAAGTTATGCCTCAAACAAGACTATGACCAGATCATTGACCCTCAGGGACCACTAGCAAACTCTGGTCCCTGAGCTTGCTGTGAGGGTAGACCCAATAAAGCCAGGAAACTGGGGTTCCACTTCCAGCCCTGCTGATAATTTGCTTTGAGGTCTTGGGCAAGCTGTGTCTTATCTAGGTCTCAGTTTCTTTATCTGTGAACTGTGAAGGCTAGACTAGATCCCTCTAGGGCCCTCTGAGTTCCAGGCCCTCTGGGGTTCTTAAAGTGTCATTCAACATAATGACTGGGCTGCTCTTTAAGTCATTCACCACCTGAGTCGTGCCCAAGATTGAAGATGATGATGAAAATAGCTGATGTTTATTGACTTCTTGCAGATGTCCTCATACAAAGAATAGACAGGACTGTAGTGATTAACGGTGCTTTCTCTCTTCTGTTCCTGTGCCCTTGCCTTGACAGGGCCAGAAAGGGGAGACTATTGTTGGGCCCCAGGGACCCCCAGGTGTTCCTGGCATGCCTGGGCCACCTGGCTTTGGAAGACCTGGTCCTCCTGGGCCACCGGGACCCCCAGGGCCACCAGGACCTCCAGCTATCCTAGGAGCAGGTCAGTACTATACGTGGTGCCCTCATTTATTCTGCCTCTGATGTTACGCTCAGGGTCACTGCATCTGGGCAGCATCTTAAAGCCACACTGTCTGACAAAGGGCTGTTTCCTAGATGGAGCTTTTTATTTCTTTTTGTAAAATTGGAATAATTCATATGCCATAAAATTCATCCATTTAAAATGTACAATTCAATAGTTTTTAATATATTTACAAGGTTGTATAGCCATACCACTCTCTAATTCCAGAACATTTTCATCTCTCCGAAAAGAGACCTTGTACCAATTAGCAGCCACTCCTCTTTTCCTTCTCCAGCAAGACCCTGGCAACCAATGATTTACTTTCTATGTCTATGAATTTGCCTATTCTGGACATTTCATGTAAATGGAATCATGTATTCCATATGTGGCCTTTTGTGTTTGGCTTCTTTCACTCAGTATAATGTTTTCAAGGTTCATCCCGTTGTAGAGTGTATCATTACTTCATTCCTTTTTATGGCTGAGTAATATTTCATTGTATGGATATATCACATTTTGTTTATCCGTTCATCAATTGATGGACATTTGAGTTTTTCTATTCTTGGGCTATTATGAGTAATGCTGCTATGAACATTCATGTATCAGTTTTTGTGTGAACATATATTTTTAGCTCTCTTAGGTGCATACACAGGAGTAGAATTGTTGGATCATACGTATAGTCACTAGACTTTTCCAAAGTGGCTGTGCTTTTTTGGATTTCCACCAGCTGTGTACGAATGTTCCAATTTCTCCTCTTCACTGACACTTGTTACTATTATATCTTTTTTATTCTAGCCATCCTAGTGCATGTGAGGTAATATATCATTGTGGGTTTGATTTGCATTTCCCAAACAACTAATGATGTTGAGTATCTTTTCACATGTGTGTGGAAACTTCCTGGCTGCTTTGTGGATGCCTGGGCCTTAAGAAATTGGGAACCAGCATTGAATGTAACTCTCTATGTAAAAATCCCTTCACCCCTGGGTACCTCACTTCCTCTCTTGAAAAATAGGCAAAATAGAAGAAAATCTCCATTTACTAAACATTTACCAAGTGCCAGGCTCTCTGCTGGTCACTCTACTACATGATTTTATTGAATTCTCACAAAGCCCTTCAAGGAAAGTATTAGCTTCCCCATTTTCAGATGAGGAAAGTGAGACCTAGAGATGTTTAGGAACCTTTCCAAGGTCACACAGCTAGTAAGTAGCACCGACAGGGTTAGGCCCTAGATCAGCGTAGCGCCAAAGCCCGCGTTCTTTCCACTATGTCCATGGTAGAAAATAATACCAGCAGCAACAATAGCATGACTGAATCCTTTTTTGTTGTTTGGGTTGGCATGAGCGGGGTGTGGTGGACGCATACCTGGGAAGAGATCTGTAATGTCTGGGGCATCGAAGAGAACTTTACATGGGAGACAACTTTGGGGCCAGGGCTTTGACTTAGTCTTAGTTCTTTTGGCTGCAAGTGACAAAAATGTAACTCAAACTAGCTCAAGACCAATGAGATGTATTAGACATGAAGGAGAGGGTGAATAGTCAGTTTGTGGGAGGGGAAGACATGCAGTGGGACCTCAGGTACAGCCAGAACCAGGGATTCAACTCCTGCGAGGATTTTCTGGCTGTCTCTTGTCTCGGCTTCTCTTTGTATGCTTGCTTCATGCTTCTTTACCACAGACCACAGCCTCTGCATGGAGGGAGGTAGGGTTACTGACAACTTACAGCTTCTATCACCAGCTAGAAATCTTGGCTTTCTTTCCTGAAAAGTCTGGGGGTGGGGCGAGTCCTGAGGAAGGATTTTGATTGGCCAGATGCCTGACCTTGGACCAATCACCTGTGGCCAGCAAGTAGGAGAATTTGAGACTATGGCAGCTCCTTCTGGAACCAAATGATTGTAGAGGTGCAGGGGAAGGTCCCAAAAGAAGGTGAGAATACTGGCCCTGCAAAGAAAGAAGGTGCTAGGTGGATAAAACCATAGGTGCTCACTCAACCTTGAGGGATGAGCAGGAATTGCAGGAGGTGGGAGTACATTACAGAGTGAGTAGAAGATGCAGAGAATCTGTTGTCCATAATAGCCCTACACTAGGGGTCCCCAGGACTCTTTGCTGAATAGAACAAGGATTGCCCCTCACATAATGTATGGCAATTCACAGTGTACTCTCAACTCTCGTATCCATTATCCCATTTAATCTTCACAGTAACCTTGGGAGGGAGATAAAATGGATATTACTATAAAACTCATTTCACGCATGAAGACACTGAAGCTCAGATAGATTAGGACACTTGCTCAAGGTCACAAATACTAGTAAGAGGCATGGCTGGGATCCAAATCCAAGTCCTCTGACCCTCTCTACATTGGACATTCACCACCCACGTATGGATTGTTAAGTCCTATGTCAGAACTGCAGACTTACTTGGAATGACCTGGAAAGTCTGATATGGTAATTTACTGGAGCTTGTAAAAATATCCTTAACTCTGCAAGAGCTTTGCATTTTGGGAGCTGGGGATGGGACAGGACAGAGAAGTAAAAGAAGAGAAAAAAAAATAGCTGTAACAATATTTCTTTATGTTCTCCTAAAGTCAGGGCTTTTCGTTTGGGAACCATAAACTCCTTGAGCCTTCAAAGATGTGCCTCTGGAAGCTGTTCTCTCACTAACAATTTAAGTAGACCTGGGTGCATGTGCAAATGCATTTTTCTAGGGAAGAGGGCAATAGCTTTGATCTGATTATTAAAAGCACTGTAACTCTTTAATAGCTGAGAACCTCTGGTTAGATGCTGTACAGTTTCGCAAAGCACATTCCTAGTTTGTAGTTTTCTGAATTCTCACCACAGCCCAGTGAAGAAGAAATGCCCGTTTACGTTTCACAGATGAGGAAACTGGGGTTCAGAGAGCTTGCTGTTTCCCTAAAATCACACAGCTGAGAATTGAAAAATAGGGGACTTGAGGCCTTGTCTCCTGACTCCAATGCCAGAGCTCCTGTTACTTCACTGCCTTACCCTCCTTGTGCAGCCTGGCACTTCCTCTTCCTCTTCCTGAGTCTGCTTCCTCTGTTCAGTAGTTACCTGCTTGTCCCTTGAGTAAAGTAGATTGTATGAGTCAGGACATTTTTAGATGCAAGTGACAGAAAACTAATTTCAGACTGACTTATACAAACAACAGCAACAAGAGGAATTTATTCACTTACAAAGCTGAAAAGTCTGTGGTAAGGCTTCAGTCAAGGCTACAATCAAGAAGCCCAGCTCTTGCCCATACCAGTGCATGTGGCTGAGTCCTGTGCTGGGTCCAGAGCGCCTGAGATTCAGATGAAAGTGGTCGTGCTTTGCAGCACTGTGAGCGGGGTTGTGCACACTCCCCTTGGTGACCAGCTGACACCTGTGGCATTTTTCAGAGTGTGCGATGTTTTGTAACTTCTCTTTTCTGCTTTGTCTTAGCTGTGGCCCTTCCAGGCCCACCTGGCCCTCCGGGACAGCCAGGGATTCCCGGATCCAGAAACCTGGTCAGTATAGTCATCAAAGCGTATTCATCCTTCTGCTTAAGATGGGTTTACTTAGCACTTCGGCTGTAGTGTTTAGGGGCTGGCACACCTTCTGTGTTGGAATTCGGCTTCTATGACAATAGTACCAGTGCAATTCTACAAGCAGAGGGTATTTATCATCTCTTATGAAGTAAAAAGGTACAGAACACAAAATCATTTGTGATTTAAGTTCTGCCCTTTTCATTCTTAATTGACTAAAGTATAACCAGAACCAATCATATTAGGTCAAAAAACATAAGCGCAAGAGTATAAACAGCATTGCAGCAGGTCCTGTGCTGGTAATTCAGCCTTCTCCGTTCTGCCAAAGAACGTCTCTTGTACACTTATTACCCTGCGGGTCACTGGAGCAGAGCAGAGCACCCACAGATGATTACGATGCACTGACAGAGGGACAAATACCTCACAAGGATGTCAGGAGTCTTGCGAATGCTCTATGATCTTTACTGGCTCTTATTTTGAAAATTTGGCTACCAAATGGAAGAACAGTCCAGCAGATAATGAAATTTTGATATATGGTACATGTGGGGGATTTCTAAGCCATTTTGAGGCACGCAGTAATTATCTTCTAGGCTAGGTGAAAATTAATTTTTTGTCATCTTTCTCAATTGAAACGAAAAGTAAAAGCTCTCTTGGCTGATATTTCTTTGAGACTTGGTGCTTTTCGATAGATTTTTGCAGCTCTTACGTCTGCTTCTGACATGCCAAGATGGCTATCTAACCTTTGGCAGCTTTCCAGGCAGAAATTACAGACCCTCATTTCCTATCATGTATTTAATGTGATAACTACCCAGCTAGGCAAAAAGGATTCAGCCTAAGTAGCATTGTTTTGCTTGTTCGTATTTCTTATTCCAAATGAAAACGAACTTGAAACTTTTTCATGGGCAGCACGAGATAACACATTTCACAATGTCAGTGCCATTGAGCAGATCACAAAAATTGAAGTGGCGAAGCTTCGTGACGATTTTGGTAATGCCAGCTCCAGGCAAAGACAACTCTAATTACAGTTTTTAAATGTTGTTATACTCACAGAATATTATCTTCTTGTTTTAATTTATCTATTATAGAGTTATGTTCCAAAGTAATTCATGTTTTTGTTTGATCAAAAAGAGCGTCCTTTCGTTGTTATGGAAGTGATCGATATATCTCTATCTGGCATGATAAGCCTTTTCGTTGACTATGAGGAGATGGCTCATATTGGAATTTACAAGGAGGCCAGTTTTTCAGATGTGCCACCGCTCTCATGATAACTGCAGTGTTTAAAATTTAACATTATCTGACAGGTTACAGCCTTCAGCAACATGGATGACATGCTGCAGAAAGCACATTTGGTTATAGAAGGGACATTCATCTACCTGAGAGACAGCACTGAGTTTTTTATTCGTGTCAGAGATGGTTGGAAAAAATTACAGGTAACTTAAACTTTCTTTAACAAATTGCCTCCAAATACCCCCGAACAATAATAATCTACTCCTATAAATGCTATTTTTCTGTTCTGAAAATAAGCAAACAGTTTCTAGTCGATGTTTCAGTTGCAATGTACTGTTTTTCCTTAAAGCTGGGAGACCTGATCCCCATTCCTGCCGACAGCCCTCCACCCCCTGCGCTTTCCAGCAACGTGAGTAGTTTCCCTGCCTTACATCGTGCTCCTCCCTTCATCAGCATTACTGAGCCCCTCTTGGTATCCAGCATCAAGCTCTCCAAATTCTGGACAGCCAGCTCTGCATGGTTCAGTGTCTGGTGGAAACCTAGAAGTGACCAGGTGCCAACAGAATGTTCTCATGATAGAGTAGAGAGAGAACGGGACCCAGAGTCTAGAGATCTGCTCCCGTGCCGTAGCTGAATCCTCTTTGGCACGGGCCTTCCCCTCTCTTGGCCTCAGTTTACTCATGTGTGAAATCATGGTTGGTGTAAACCATTTAGAAGAACCCTTTAACGTTTGACACTCTGAAACTTCTTTGCCTGATAAGAACATTGGCAATTTATATTGTCCATTTTTTAACCCTACATCAACCCTTTGAGGTGGGTATTGTCATCCCCATTTTGCAGATGAGGACACTGAGCCTCTGAAAAGGTGACTTTCTCTATTAAGTGAATGAGTAGGCTATAAAATCTACTTCCTCGGTTCACTGCTCTTTCTGAAAGACTTGAGACTATCCCTTTCCTTCGTGAGGATCATTTCTTCATTTGAGCGTGAAACTCTTTGCAGTTAAGAGTAGCCCAAAGACAATGACAAACTCCTTAAATTATCTTCTCAAGAAACCTTGCACTTGCTCCTCAATGTACTCTGAAGAACAGATTGAATGAAATGAAAATATTCAGAACTGTTTGTTTTCCTTTTTTACATAACAGCCACATTCGCTTCAGTCTCAACTGACATCTATTTCAAGTGTCAATTATGAAAGGCCTGCAGTAAGTACAATTCATACATTTCCTCTGCAAATGCTAACTGTGTGTCTACTATTTGCTAAGTGCCATGCTAGGCACACAGTTCCTACCCTCAAGATGTGTATAGACTAGTGAGAGAGGCAAACAAAATAAATAATTACAATACAGCATGGTAAGTCATTTGGGTGAGGCAAACACAGGGTGCTGGGGGTGCAAGGAAGGTGAAAGATATCTGCCTTCTTTAGGAGAGGTGACCTCTAAACTAAGGCCTAAAGGACAATTGAGAGCAGGAAAGAGCCAGGTGGGAGAAAGAGAGTGGGAATTCTAGACAGGGTGAGTATGGAACAGAGGGAAGCAAGAGGAAGTGCTGTGCGTTTCTGTAATTCTGAGTTTTTCAGTCTGGCCGAAGAAGTAGAGTTCCAGGCAGAAAGGAGAAATTAGTATGCAGACAGTCAGGTTACTCATCAAGGCCCTGTAAGCCAAGCCAAGGACTTTGACCTTTTCCAGTGAGCAATAGGGAACAATGAAGGGTCTTAGGCTAAACAGGCATATAAGATTGGCGTTCCAGAAATTACCTTGGGTACAGTGTACAAATAGATTAGAAGTGATAGGACCAGGGGTCCAAAGGCCAGTTAAGTGGCTACTTTACTTTCTGAACTAGGATCACAGCAGTGAACATGTAGAAAAGAGGGTAGGTTGGAGAGAAATTAAGGGGGCAGGAGTGAAAAAGGACAATGACAGGTTGGTCATTGATTGGATACAGGGCAATGAGGATGAGGGAGACAAAGAATGACACCCAGTTTTCTGCCTGGCTAACTGAGTGGTGATAGTTTTCTTTCCAGGGGTCATTCTGTTGCTGGGATTAGAAACTCTCACTCTATTCCTTTGCTAGCTTAAGTGAAGATCTTGTTCAGGAACCTCATGGAATTCAATTGAAGGAAGTATAACTCTTGTCTCTGCTATTAGTCTGCTTTACTATCTACAGACCGGCTTCTGCAAGGCTCTTTCTTCCAGCCTCCCCTCCACTCCCATCCCAATATACAGACATAGGCTACATCTTCAAAGCTGGCACACAGCTATGGGTTGCCATGGCATTGATTATGCCCCCAACTCTGTGTGATCTTACAGCCACAGAGCCCAATACTACCTGACTCAATACAGAGTCTTGCGAGAGATCATCTATATGGGTCATTTTGGGTTAATTGTCCACTCCCAGACAAATCAAAAGTAGCCAAGAGAATGAGATTGCATGGCCTAAGATCACTCTTTTTAGCAAATGTTGTGGGGCAGTTTCCAAGAACAAGGCATGGTCAACTTGAACACCAGAAGCATGTTTCCTGTCTCACTGCCATTCACCACACAAGAGCTCGTGTGGGGCATCATGAGTCTGAGGCACCTGTAGGGCATCTGAGTGGAGACTACCAGGAGGGAAGAGGATACGAAGGTCTGAAAGCCCACAGTGGGTCTCATCTGAAGATACAGCCTTAGAGTCTTTAGCTGAGCCATGGCAATGGTGACCAGGGTGCTAGGATTCTCAAAAGAGGATTTCTGCGGTGAGAAGAAGTTGGATTCTGAGGAACAAAACACAAAGACACTGGCGGAAGAAATATGAGAAGGAAACCGAGAGGAAGAAAGGATGGCCAGAGGGGAAGAAAGGGTGTCAAGCAAGGTAGAAGCCAGCAGTGTCAAATGCTGCCCAGAGGTCCATTGAAAGAATTGAAAGGTGTCCTTCAAACTTAGAAACCAGAGGAAAGCATTCCTATAGCATGGAGAGACACCAATAAGAGTCTAGTTGGTTGAAGAGTAAATGGGAGGTAAGGCGAAAAAAGAGAAGCCAGTATAGGTAAATCTTTAAAAAGCTTAGCTATAAAGGGGAGAAGTTTGGGCAGAAGCTAAAGGATTTTTAAAATAGTGTTTTGTAAATTTAAAGTAATACATAATCATTGAAGAAAGTTTGGACAATCAATAAGTAAAAAGACTGAAGAAGAAAACAGTAAACCACCTATAATTTTACCAGCACTATAACCATCCATAGAATCATCATTTTAACATTATGATTGTCGTAACGTAATTGTCTTCATAAAAATGATAGATTCATTATAAAAATGTTCCGGCAATTAGAGAAATATAAACATGAGAACGCAAAAGCCCCCAATCCCTCCCTTCAGAAACAGCCATCATTCTAGACATTTCTCTGTGTATCTCTTTAAAGAAGGAGAGGTGGAGATGAATGGAATTAGGAAGGGGTAGAAAGCTCTGAACTCGCCATCGCGACCGTCCTAGGTGTCGCCTGGTATCAGAGAAGCCATCCTCGGTGACTGCCCTTTGGTGTAGCTCCAGAAGCCCAGTGGTTGGAGGGCGATGGGACCACAGGGCCTCTTTCCTGGGGTGTTGCAGTCCCCTGATACACAAGAGGGAGGACGGTGAGGGTGGGGGCAGTATAACCAGGCAAGGGCAACAGAGAGCAGTGTTTGGATATGGGGCTAGAAGTCTGATGGCCAGTAAGTGGTTGTGATGAGTAAGCAGTGTGCGGAAGCCGCCTCCCTATCCTAAAGGCTGGGATGTAGGAGCATAAAATGCTGCTACTGGGAGAGCTGCAGGGGAAGCTTCATCTCAGTGGGGATGGGGATGGGAGATGCTGAACCTCTATCTAGCTTAGTGATAAAGGCAGAACCAGGGATGGATAAAAAGATAGAAATTGGGGAAGTAGCAGGCTTGGAGTCTGTCTTCTTCAAAATGGGGAAGGAAAGGGGTGATGAAATGCAGAGAAATATTCAAAGAAGCGCTAAGACTGCATGGGTCAATCTGGACATTGTAGTTTATGGCCAGCTGTGGCAAACTGGCTGCATATTTGATAGGCAGAAGAATGTCAACATGGTAACATTTGCTGTTAGGAACATATAAAGGCTTGGTGCTGGGAACATTCAGATATGAGTGGCAACACAGAAACAGAGAGAGAAGCATTGACCACGTCCTGCCTCATCACATGGAGCTCATTTATGTCCAATGGTTTAAGATATCTTAAAATATTTTTCTTTTCTGGAGCCTTGGGTCTGGGTGCTGCAGCAGTCCTCCCCAGCCCTATGCTAATGAGATAAAAGTTGCTTCTGAGATGAGATCAAGGAGGGAGATGACTACTCCTTGAGTGTGGATGTATTCCAGGGTGCTGGGAGAGAAGTCTGGGTTTGGAGAGCAGAAGTGTGAGAGAAGACCGACTATGGAATGGCTTTTATTTTGGCTGCTGACCAAGGGGGCAGGGATGTGAGGGTAGAATTACTGTATGATCCCATGTTTCCAAAGGGTCTCTTTCGGCAGTCTTAGTAGCAACTATCACGACCTTCTCCTTCCAATGCCTTTTCCCTCTGGCCCCCTTGGGTTCAGCCCCAGGCCTACTCAGGAGGTAGAAGAAAAGGCAGGAGGCAGATAGCTTAGTGTAGCTCTGGGATCTAGGACCAAAACCAGCTTAAAAGCCTCCTGGAAACTGAGCTGAACCCAGAATTCTTCAACAAATGGTGAGCAGGCTGGATTCAGATATCAGAAGTACTTTGTTTTGATTTTCTCATACTTGGAAGAATTTTCCACAATTTAGAACTGTTCAGATTGCTGACCCAGGATAATTTGGGAGACCAGTGCTCTCCAGTCAAGCTGGGACTGGAATTCCAGTGGCAGGTAGAAGTTGACTAAGACCACCCCTAGTTTGCCTTCCATTCCAAGAAGTCTGGAATCTCATTAGGAACATAGGATGGTTATGGGCTTGGGGTTCACCTTTAACTCTTTAACTGCACTATCTTTTCTTTCACTTTTTTTCAGCTGCACTTGATTGCTCTGAACATGCCATTTTCTGGGGACGTTCGAGCTGATTATCAGTGCTTCCAGCAGGCCAGGGCTGCAGGACTGTTGTCCACCTACCGAGCATTCTTATCCTCCCATTTGCAAGATCTCTCCACAGTTGTGAGGAAAGCAGAGAGATACAGCCTTCCAATAGTGAATCTCAAGGTAAAAATAAATATTGCTCCCTTTGCCTCCTGGATGCACTGTTCTCCACGGGGACTGGAGGCAGTTGCCAATTCCTGACATCATCCGAAATGTGCTGGTTTAAGGCCCAGCCTGTCCCTGATTGGCTGTGTGACTTTGGGTGGGTCACTTTCCCTCTCTGGACCTCAGTTTCGTAATATTTACAGTGCCCCTGCCTGCTTGGATGGTATGACTCACAGAGCAGACAGGAAGGAATAATAACCACTTTTTTTACACAGCTTTTTAATGTTTACAACATACTTTGTACTCATTGTCTTAATAGATACTTCCAATAAAAATGAAAGGGGTTTTTTTGGTTTTTTTTTTTTCAGTTTGTCAGATAAAGAAACAGACTCAGAAGGAGAAAGGAGTTTGCTCAAAGTCACTAAAACTAGAATTAGTTTCCTTGAGCCCCACAAGGGTCTGGGACTCTTGCTTCCACTAGAAGATGCCTTTTGTAAGGCGTTGGCTGAGTGGCACCAGAGAACAGCTGGTGCGCACTGGTCCCAGAACAGAGCCACTTTGTCCAGCACCCTGGTTTGGTGCTCTCGGCTCATCTGAGCTGCCAAAGCCTGGCAGACACTTCTCTGCCCCTATTTGCTGGCAAGGAAGGGCCTCATGGGGTCCCTCAATAGTACAATTATACCATGGAAGTAACCAATTCCTTTAAGGCAATGGAGAGACAGCTTTGTTATAGCTCACACACATGCTGGGTCCTAAACTCCCACTAGATCACAAAGTTACTTTGAGACCCCCCTGTTCTGGGACCCTAGGGCTCCAATTTGGAAGCTTGAGGCTAGCATGTTACATCCTGACCCTACACCCATCTCCTCTCCCAAATTTCTGTTCTACCTCATTCATCCACTCGAATTACTTGTATTCTTAGAATGCAAATAACTTCAGAAGAAGGAGTAAGAGATTCATCTCCATATCACCCATAATATGTATTGGCACAAATATGAAACTCAATATATACGTGTAAAATTTTAAAAACAGTAATAAAATAAAGACCTAAAACACACTTTTGGTGGGGAGGAGCCTTTGTTCACATATTATAAGAGAAATTACCTCAAGAAATAAGACAGTAAAACCAAAAGGGTTCAAGAATGGTTTATAAAATCATACCACAAACATTTTCTGAGTTCTCACTCTGTCCAGACACTTGAATAGGATTTGGTGGCTTCAGTGTGAGGTGACATCTGGGCCTTAAAGAACGAGTAAATAACTAGTTCGTTTGCAGGCTGATGGTATAATGATGCTAATGTGTCATTTTTGTCGCCATAGGGCCAAATACTTTTCAACAACTGGGACTCAATTTTTTCTGGCCACGGAGGTCAGTTCAGTACACGTGTTCCAATATACTCCTTTGATGGCCGAGACGTGATGACAGATCCTTCTTGGTAAGTAGGGATAGAAGCCTCAAAGTATATGGTACAATAGACAATTTCAGGAGACATTCTAATCATGGATGCTTTTGTCAGCTGCCCCTCTGGGGTGTTGTCAGCATAAAGCCTCAGTGAGGCAGCTGAGGGCCATGGAGAGAGCCCTGGCCTTGGAGCCAGGAGACCTGAGTTTAATACCTTAATATGGGAACTTGGGCAAGGCACTTCCGCTCACTGAGCCTCAGCTGCCTCACCTGCCAAATGGGCAAGATAATCATATCTATACCTTATACTTGTTATGAGAATAAAATAAATGTGAGAATTTCTAGCATACCCTTAGAAAGTGGTAAGTAATGCTATTCTTGGTGATCCTTTAAGCCTATGCTGTGAGCTGCAGTCAAAGTCTTTGAAACTATGTATGCTATTAAGAATAGAACAAGTCAGCAAACCTTTCCTCAGTGTCTAGTCTATGACAGGCCCAAAGCCAGGCCTGGAAGGCATGATAATAAACTTACACCGCCCTGCTCTTACAGGACTCACAGCCCACAGGGAAAGACAGATACAGACTAGCTACAATTTAAGACAGAACATTGTAATTGTAAAATGGAGAAGCAGATAAGATGATAGGAGCACAGAGGAAATAGTCATCATTACTTGGGGTGAGAATCAAGAAGCCTTCCTGTAAGAGGAAGCATTTAATGGACTTTGAAAGGTGAGAAGGAATTCATTAGGCCAAAAATGAAAGAGGCCACTCCAGACTAAGGGACTTATTGAGCCAAGGTTCAGATTCATGAAAACAGAGGGTATGATTTGAGAACAAGTACAATCTGGATGTGGTCGGAACGGTGTGTTCAGATAGTTAGAAAGAGCAATGAAGATAGAGAGAGGATCTGTAGTCAGACCATGGAGGGTTTAGAAGGCTGACTTGATTCACTAGATCTATGCCAATTTGTTCACCGAGATATGCCACAAAGAAGAAAAAGTAACATGACAAAATTACTTTTTAGGCCCCAGAAGGTCATTTGGCACGGTTCCAGCACCCATGGCGTGCGTCTTGTGGATAAGTACTGTGAAGCATGGAGAACTGCTGACATGGCAGTCACGGGATTGGCCTCCCCGCTGAGCACCGGGAAGATTCTGGACCAGAAAGCATATAGCTGCGCTAGTAGGCTGATTGTTCTCTGTATCGAAAACAGTTTTATGACAGATGCTAGAAAGTAATGACCTTCCCATAATCCTAAAAGAGTCTTCCAGTTTTTCTTATGTGAAGAGTTGACACTGAAATCTAAAATGTTTAAATGTTGTAAATATTAGTTTTTTATTACACATTCGTCACAACAGCAACCAAAGAAAACATACCTCAATACGCCCAAAACTGAAGACATAAAGGACTCAGATCAAAGATAACAATCTGATCTATATATCGGTGCTAGATTCTGCAGGAAACTCTATGCAGTGTGAACACATCCCAACATGGTTAAGAGCAAGCTGAAAACAAAGGCCTTGGCATTCTGCCCACTGCATCCTTCAGAAAGTTATTTCCTCCTTTTAGCCATTGTTGTCAAGTGTAAGATGTCCTTCATGTTTTCTTATAAAGTCAGTGTTTAGAAATGTTATACCCTTTCTAAGTTATGTGCTGACCAAATGCTTTATTCTTTAATATACATCCATCATTTGCAACTGCTGTTCATACAGAGATACAGAACTGCTCAAATGATCCTATTTGTAGTTTCTGATATTATCAGACTTCAATTTTTTTTTCATAAAATATTATTGCCATCATGCTTCAGGAGTTTTATATTTTTGCTACAATCATATATTAGTATGGCATCTGTTTTTATTGCTCTGACTTGCTGGAAAAGTTGAAACTCCAAATTATCTGAAACTAGAAAAGAAATAGCACATAATTACTACATTTCCTTTGGTGGCCCTTCCACCCATCTCCTACCCTAATTTTGTGACTTCCATTTGGCGACTCTTGAATTATAACTGCGATTGAACAAACAGGTTCATGAGGATGAATTTTCTGAGACACCTATATCTTCATGCTGTATACTTTGTTCTTTGTTTTTTTCTTTTTCCTATGTAAGTGAACATAAAAATATCTTTTCCAGGTGCTTTCTTCTGTTTCACTTTTTTCCCTTAATTCCTTTACTCTCCCCCCTTGATGTGGAAGTGGCCCTAGGGCGAGTTTGCTAACCCTGTCACTGCCACTTTATAGTCCTCAGGGTATGACCAGAGAACAGGAAGAGTTTCCCATCATGCTCATCTGCTCTTGCCTGTTGTCTCCCACTTGGCTGGGGCAGCATGGGGTGGGCAGAAAAATCTCAATGTGGGAAAGAGGATGAACTGTGACTATCTCAATACATGACTTCAGATAAGTCTTCCTTTTTCTCTCAAAAAGCATAATAATATCAGCTGCTAGTTATTAAACTCAGATCTTTTATAAGCCCCATTTACCTTTCCTCATAACTCTGCAAGGTAGGTATTTCTATTGCCACTTTACAAATGAAAAAAAGAAATTGAGGCTCAGGAAGTCCCTTGTACCAGGTCACACAGCTCGTGAGTGATGGGGCTGGTTTCAGACTCAGGGTTTGTCTCATTCCAGTGCCCAGGATCTTTTCAAAGAACCACTGTACAAGGCTGCCTATCCCCTCCCTTCCAGCTCCAAGACTGTGACTTTGTGCCTCTTGGCTGTACCCCGCAGGAGAAACAGGATCACTAGGCAAGGGGCATGCCGGGATATTTCCTCCCATTCAGCTGCGCTGGCTCAGAAACTCGACAAAGTGAATCCACCCGAATAGTCCTTGAAGTAGAAAGGAAATCGAGGACCAAAAAAAAAATCCAGACAGCCCAGACCTCCACTTAGGGGCTTCTCAAATGGAGGAGTGGTGAGAATCTAATGAGTCACCGAATGAAAACAGTTATAGGTTGGAAAGCCGTAGAGGTGGATCACTGAGGACCAGCAAGTGACTGAGGGGCTGGGGGGTCCGGCATAGACAGGAATTGAGGGGGATGGGAGTGCAAGGCTTGCAAGGCCATGAAGTGAAGACACTGTCCATTTTGGTGGGAGCCCCCTGGGTCACGGAGGGATGGGATGGGATGAGGATTCAAGGAGAGCCAAAAGGAGGAGAGACCCTTTTTGCTAGCCCTAGGAAGGGGTATTGAGGTTCACGTCCTGACTTCTCAGTCCTTTTTGTGCACTGAAGGAGGATGTAACGAACTGGCCCTCCCAAAAGAGGTTTTGAATCAACCCCAGTCCCATTCAGACTGAGAATAACAGTTAAAATCCTGGGTCTGAGAATGACAATTAAAACCCTTCACTGAACATTGGCTTTCTTGTCACTTGCTGAGCCACAAAGGCCCTTCAGACAGGCTGTTGTGCCTACCCTCTGCCCCATCTTGGTCTAGCCTGGCCCTTTTGCCAATGGCCAGTGCAGACTCTGCTTCATCTGTGACATCCCCCATCCCCCTGCACCTGCTTACCTTTTGCCATCCTTCCTCTTCTGAACATCTGATGTGTTTAAACACCTAGATCTTGTTACACAACTGAAACATAATGGCTGAAAGGTATCTAAGCCCTCACCCTTCTCCTGAATGTACCTCAAGGCCAGGAAGAAGTCTAACCCTATCAGACAAAATAAGGGAGAGAAGATATGCCACAAGGAGTTCATCTTCAGTGTGAGAAGTCTTTGGGTGCTTGCCAAGTCTGTATTGTAGATTCTGAAGGTGTAAAACCTGCAGCATCCAAGGTACCCTATTCAGAAGCAGAACCAGAAGGACAGAAGCAGCTGCCCTGTATTAACCCATATCAAGGCCAGGCCCCACGAGGAGGCAGACTTTGAATGGCACAAAGGAGCAAAGGGACTGAGGAGAGATGGGGGTGGGGGAAACAGAGCATGAAGGAGAATCCTTCATGGGAATCCTCTCTGCCAACGTGGCCAAGTGGTGGTGCCTGAAGAAAAGTCACCTTCAGATTTCCTGCACTCTCAGAGCCACCCTCAGATTTCCTGCACGTTCTGGACTTTATATGGCTTGTTCTACGTTGCTTGAACCTGTGGGAAGTGCAAGTAGGAGACAGCATGGAATTCAGGGAACTGTCAGCAACCTAGTACAGCTGCATATTAGTCAGTAAGGGAAACACAAGTCAAATTCATAAACAACAACAAAAAGAATGGGTTGGCTCATGAAATAAGTAGGACAGAGGACGTGAGATTCAAGCAATGTCACCACTTGGCACGCTCTCTCTCTGTCTCTGTGTGTGTGTGTGTGTGTGTGTGTGTGTGTGTGTGTGTGTGTGTTTTCTACTATTCTCTGTATATGGCTTCCTTCCCTCCAACCAAAGGCAAGATTCCTCTGTGTGGCAGGAGCTTTTCCCAGACAGTTCCAGGCTTACATTACTCCACCACCCCAGACAGTGGCCTCTCCCTTCTGGTATAATATTAATTCCTAGAAAGAACTCTGATTCGTCCCACATGGATTGTGTGCCTGTGACAATGATTGGCAGCTCCACCCAAGATGGATTGTGCAGAAGGAATAATTTCTCCATTCAAAATAGTAGGAGGTTGGCAATGACCAGAAAACAGGGTCTCAGGAAGTTGAGAAAACCAAAAAAAAAAAAAAGAGAGAGAGAGAAGAGAAGAAAAAAGAAAAGAGAAAAGAAGGATTCCAGCAGATACAACAACAGGAAAGGGATGAGTGTGGGGGACGTGGAGGTGAAATGATAGAGGTGAGGTCACGTTGGACTTGAATTCCAAGATGAGGTGTTTAGACTTTATCCTGCAACTGCTGGCACCTGGGAAGACTTTAAAAGGTGAGAGATGGGATGAGACAGCCTGTGACCTACGCAACCGTGTCAGCAGGGACTGGAGGCAAAGACATGCTGGGAACTGCTCAGGAAAAGCTCCTGGTGACCCGTGCAGTTGTTGACAGCACTCAAAAGGGCTATCGGTCCTTTTTAATATAGATAGATGTTTGTATTTATAAATACCAACAAATATTTGATTTGACGAATCTCTTAAAGATTAAACGATCTCAAAAAGGAAACCAGCATATCCATCAGAGCAAATGGCTTTTATTAAAAAGGATTATTACAGAAAACAAGAGCTAACTTTTTAAAAATTCAAATTTTGTATTCCAGAGAATGGTCAGAGGTAGAAGAAGTGTGAAATGGAATACTAGGAGAACAAGAAACAGCCCCTGAAAATCAAATATATGATTGTACAAACCTCAAAATAAAACATAAGGGCAGCATAAATCCTATCGAAAACTAGTGACTTATCAGGTAAACTCATAAGAATTAATACAATCTTCTCAGAAAACAGACAAAAAGATAGATTCATGAGATAAAAGAAAGTGATAAATATAATGTCCCAATATTTATATAACGGGAGTCATAGAATAATAAAGAAGAATGAATAGAAGTGAAGTAACGATTAACGAAATAATGAAAGGAAATTTCCTGAGCTAAAAGAGTTTTATCTATGGATTGAAGTGGTTCACTGAATCCTGGGCAGAATTGTTGCAAAAAATCCACTCAAGGACATAGCTGGTAAAACTTCCAAATTTCAAGGATAATGTAAGGATCTTACAAACTTTCATACAAAAAGAGATCCAGACTGGAATTGGAGCTCTCATTTTCAGTATTAAATATTAAAAGACAATGGTGCAATATGTAAATAATCCTGCAGATTAAGGGTTTTTAAAATTTTGCAGCCAGCCCAACTGAGAACAAAAGAGAGATACTTTCAGAAATGTCAAGACTTGAATTTATAGCATCAGGTGCCCTTTCTGCGAAGCGATCTTTGTGGAACAATTATCACCAAATAAAAATGAACACATAATAAAGATCTCACAAAGCAGAGGGCATTGTGATATATAATATACTCGAAATCTCATGAGAAACAAGATAATTTGTAATTAATTCTCAATGTGTAATAACTGTACCATATGTGAATTGAGGTGACTTTTCTTTAATAATTATGTACTTATTTGCATATGTGTTAGAAATGTATAGGTAGCACCAAATCCACAACTTCACATTTATTTTTATTCAGTATGAAGTTTAATTGAATATTTAAGTTTTAAAAAGTATGTTGATTTAAAGAAAAATGTTAGAGAGTAGGCAAATGAATGAGTTTGGGGAAACATCTGACTAAATAATTGTTGATAATTTAGTTGTAAAGTGCGTTCCAGACTTAACCAACTTGCGATGATAAAATAGGTTCATGTCTCTTTAAAACCTAAATTACAAGTCTGATCTCCTAGGTGTGAAATTAGCACAAAGTCCAGTCCTTTTTTTCCTCATATATTCTTCAATATTCTTCTTCCGCATATTTCAGAGTTGCTTCTATTTTACCAGGAATTTGTTCTACTCATTTAACTCACATCCAATAAAAATGCACTCACTCTCTCCTTAAGATTTGACAACCAAAATGACATCCAGCTGTCACATCCAACTGCTGGAAGTTTAGGATCTCTGGATGATGTACATTCCATTCCACCAGGTCCCGATGCTGGTCAGTCAATCAATAATTATTTATTGAGCATATAGGGGTACCAATAAAAGACAGAGTAACCATCCTCAAGGATCTTATATTCCAGTGGAAGGGGGGATAGATAATAAATGTGCAAACAAATAAGATGAATTCAGGTGTTGAAAATTGCTAAAATAAGACAAAATAAGGTAATAGGGTTTGAATGGGGAAGAGGGATACTGAAATATCCTTCTGAAGAGATGACATTTGAGTTGAAATATTTGAAACTGGTGTACTGCGGTGTCCTGATTAATGTATAAACATAAAACTATTTGATTGCTTTAAATGGTATCTCCAACTATGCTATACTTATACTATAGTCTCTTACAGCATAGACCCTTATAATCCCATGGAGAAGTATATTAGTTATGATCTACCCAAAAGTCTCTTTAAGTATTTGAAACAGAGGAAATTTGATGCAGACTATTAGTTACATAAGTGATGGAAAAACTGAGAAACTCAACAGGGCGTGCAGTAAGACTCTCCAGATATTATCAAAAGAGAGGCAATGAAAGCGGATGTGTTATTAGAGCCCAGAGGCTGGGATCAAATGGCAAAAATTAGGCTGTGCTGGGCC